GATGTGAGATGCGGGGGAAAGTTTGTTTCCTGAATTGTGTGTCAAGGGATTGGGACGGTGTTGCTGCACGCCCTGAGATGCCGTATCTGCCTCAGGTCTTCTACACCACACTAACATACTTACAAGAAAGCATCGTGGTAGTAGCATCAGTTTCGATGTATGCAAGAGAGTCTTTTTGCTCACAGATATTCCGGCACTTGGCCGAATAGGGATGCCCAAGAGTAAAAGTCAGCAGTTGGCTGGTAGCATCGATGCTCCCATGATGCATGGCCGACCGCCATCAGGAAATGATCAGGAGTTGTGAGCAAGCCAATAACTTCTACTCTCTCAAGAGCCATCACTGCCCGGAAGGCGAGAGAGCCACACCGAAAGGCTAAAGTTTTGGTCCAGCGTGGCTCTCGATGCACTCGGGATATAAGTTCAAGTCAAATTGAGGGAGGAGAAGCCCTGGGAGGGTTGTGACAGACAAAGGAGGTTGCTCATTCTGAGAACTGGACCGATAGGTGACAGCCGCGAGAGTTCCTGTCATTGGCTGCAGGGGTTACGCAAGTACGACCTAGCCTCGGCAGATCGTCTCAGGATGTTGCACATTAACAGCACAGTCACCCAGGGATGTCCATATCTTCACGTACGTACATTGGCTTACTGGCTGTCATAGCTGAGGAACCATAAGCTTATACAAACGAGCGGCAAATGCGCGCGGTCACCTGTCAGACAGCAAGCATGAACACCACAGCTCTCTCTCTCTATCTCTCTCTACCTTCTCTTTTCAGAGCTTGTGCGCAATATTTCAAAACCTAGTGATCGTTATGTGGGGGGAACGTTACAGGTACCCGCCTTGATATTGGGCTGAATAGCAACAAGTGGTATTGATGAAAAAGGGTGGTTGCTTCCAAAGCGACCAGATGGATTTTCATCAGTTGCTCAATCCTTTCAAACAGGCTGCCAATCTCGGCCGCCCTTGCGAGAACCGTTGCGGTGAGCGGATGGCAGACAAACAGAGGGGCATATATTAGACTTATTGACGCAAGAATAGGATGAGATCAACAGATGCAAGTTTTTCGGCAGAGCTTTCACATAGGGAGCGGTTCTTGAAGAGTTGATACGTTTGTCAACGGATTTGCTGGTGGTTTTGATGCGAGCAAGCCATGTCACGGCCTGGCATGGGTTAGGAGAGTTCGAACCCCAAGATTTGGTTCGCACATCGAGTGACGCACGCAACGGCCGTTGCCTCTAGCCCTGGCCCCGGCCCTGGCATTGTCGATTGCGTTGCCGGCGGGACACTTCTTGGCGAGCTTGCTAAAGCTTACGCAGCAGATCGGGGCTGCTTGTCACGGTACGCATCTGCACACACTACACAGCGCCAGCTGGTGCCTGTCCCCCGCACCTCCCGCCCGCTATAGTGTGCAGGACTGAGAGTCTGTCGAGGCTGGCATCAAAAGTCAAGCGCATGCGCGTGTTAATGGAGGGTTTTCGGGGTACACAGCATATGGTCAGAACAACAGCGACTCTAGCGGCTTTCCACGTCCATATGCCTTATATCGCAATTCCCAAGATGGTTTTGGCATCCATCCGCTGTGCTCGAGGTGACCTTTAACCCATGCAAGGTCAGTAGGTACACTACAATTTACACTAATTGAATGGACGGAGCTCGCGAACGCGACTCTGCTCGGTCAACACCAGGACCTTCGCTCGGTCAGGATGGTTACTCCAGGGCCGGGGGCCGAGCCTGATCACGCAAGGCTTCGAGATGAGGATAAAGTGATATCAAACCCAAAAGGGCAATCTGGAGAATTGCAATGCTCGCACTCCGTCATCTCTCGTGCACCTGATGTGTTTGCCGATGCTTGATGTCAGGTCGAATCCGCACAGTGAGCAGGGCGCACTGTGACTAGTAAGGGCAGCGGAAAGCTGGGGTTCACCCGCGCTTGCCCGTCAAAAGCAGACCAAAGGGTTAAATCAAACCAAACCAAACCAAACAGCAGCAGCAGCTGGGAAACAGCAACAGCCCCACGACAAGAAGTGGTACAAAAAGCACAGCCAAAAAGCGACCAATTGCCCCGCCATTTCCTCATCAAGTGAACAGTGGGGTGTTGGATGTGCTTGCCACGGAGGTCTTGGCTGGTCGCTTGGCCGATCGTTTGGCCGCGGCCCTTACAAAGTTGCCCAAACGGGAACAAGACTGGATCACTGCTGGGTCACACACGCAACCCTATGTGCTCGCCCGAGGGGGCGTCTGTGCACTTTAAGTCAAACGTCCTGGTCCTCGTCAATGTGAACAGCTCGTGGCTTTCCAGCAGTTGCTTACAAAAATGGTAAGGTACGGCGGTAACCTGTATAAAGAAGGGGACTTTACCAGGATGGCAAGATGGGGTATGCTGTAGGGCGTGACAACTATGACAACAAAGGCACCTTGGATGTACTTGTACTGTAACATCCATTGCTCAGTCATCAGGTCTCCACTACGTTTTTTTTTTTTTTTTTTTGTCCGCTTTTTCCAGAGACCGGCGCTTGTTTCTAGTGGTTTGCAGACGACTGATTCGCTGAGTTTGGGGCTCTTCTTTCCCCATTCCCCAGTTTCCTGCCACCTCGTTGCATTGTTGCCATTCCATCAACTCTCCGCTGCTTGGCCTCCACTTTTGCGCTCCGGGAGAGTGAGAGAGCTTGGGAGCAGGCGCTGTGTGTGTGCTCATCGACATCGGTCACGCCCCCCTCCCAATTTTACTTCTGCAACCCTCACAACCCATCTCAATCACTTCACTTGCCCCCCAGCTCTTGATCCTATTTCCCCGCATTTTCTGCTCTCATCAGATCTGGCACCTGCTGCTGCTGCTGCTGCTGCTGTTGCTGCTGCTGTTCCTGTTGCTTGGGCTGCGGCACCAGCGTCTGCCCCCTCCGTTTCCGCAGGGTGCAGGCGAGCATAATCGCGCGTCAAACGAGCAAAGGGCCAAGCGCCACTGCCCAACACGCAATGCAGTAGCGGAGTCTCCATAAAATTACAAGATTCCGGGAAACTGGCACTGACGCTGCACTTGGGCAACTGTTGAGGCTGGGGGACTTTTGACTCCTGGGCTAGTTCCAGGTTGATTTGATTGATACGTTGAATTGAATCCCTCGGATTCATCCCGAAACCACTGCAACCTAGACGGCTGCATCAAACACGCGCATCCAACCATCCGTCTGTTATCCATCCGCATCATCGGCATCACCATCTCCACATCCATCGCCGACGACGGTGCACTGCCAGGCCTCACCGACACTGTCGCTCGCTAATCGCCCAACTGTTTCCTTACACGCGGATACACACAGCTTCGCTTCGTAGAGGATCTCCATCGCCACGGGTATTTCCCAAAAAGGGAGAACAGCACAGCGGCTGTCTACTCAGACGCACAGATCAGCCCACCTGCTTCGCTCGGTCGTCCAACCAGCGTCCGCACGGCGGCAGGCGGCGACGGCGACCCTCTCAGCCCGCAGAAGCACACCCACTCTTCACGCTTCGGCTTTCATGGTATCTCTGTGACGTGTCACACCTGCCGCCCGCAAGTCTTCAGGCGTCGTACTTTAGCAGCTTACCGCCATCCATCGCATCAAAATCCCATTGATTTGCCTCGGACTGCGTTGCTTCACCTTTTCTTGCAGCTACCGTCTACTTACACAACAGCACCGGTCACGGCCATCGCTCTCAGAGCTTCAGTTAAGCGAGTGCCGCGACTGCGTTTAGTCAGCACACGCAGCATAGCATCGAGCAGACCCAGCTGCGGAAACATTCAGCAGCCGCAGTGATTGATTTCTTCTGGTTCCCGATCCCGGCCCCAAGCAGTCGTGCAGGTCTTAGTTTGCGGTTGCCCTTGCTGAGGAACATCCCTCCTGTTTGCTTATTTTTTTTTTTTTGTTCCCTTTCATATTCACTGATTTTAGAGTGCCCATCCGCAGCCACCGCACGCGGTCACGGGTACGTGAACAGGTAAGTACATTTACATTTTTCATATTTCCCAAAACGGTACCATACCGCTGTCCTACCCTCACTCCCCTCCCTGCCCTTCTTTTCTTTTTAACCCTACGCCCTTACATTGCTGCTCAGCCTCCACCATATCCCACTCAGCCTTACCGCGGGAAAAAGGGAGCACGTCTGAGCCCGTCCACAAGCGCCAGACGCAGACGCAGCACTCGAATTAGGTGAACAAGCAATTAGCTGCAGCTGTTTATTCTTATTCTTATTCTTATTATTATCATTTTTATTTTTTTATTCCTTTGATTAAGAGCAGGATCAGATCAAAGGGCCATCAGCTCATCAACGCACGCGCGCGCCTGAGAGCAGTCAGCTCTGGAAGTAGTGGCAGCAGCGACAGTTACCTTACCTTACACACTCACCCCAGCGGACGCACGAGCGCCGACCGCCCCCACTCCTCGGGCCCCTTCGCTCCCTCTCAGTCCGCTGTCCACATCCCCTGTCCTGTCGCAGCCGATGCTCGCGCGAGAGCCTCTCGGTCCTCCTGCAGCCTGATCACACACACTCGTCAGTGTGCTTCCTGTCAAAAACACTGGGTCTGCCCAACTGGCGCATTGCAAGAGAATTGCTCGTCCACCTTCATCCCAACACTTCACCTCACCTACCTTACACTTACACCTACACCTATTCATCACTGCCGGCGAGTGTGTTGTCACATGTCTCACCTCGCCGTCTAGCATCGCCGACCTCAATTCGCTTACAAGCCCCTCTTCTCCAGACATCTCATATATCTGCTGCACCCGAGACTCGGCGCCTGAGATCGCCATTGCGCAACCCAATCGGCATCATCACAGCGAACTCACCGATTTCTTAATCAGCTCTTGTCTGCCCAGCCCCTCATCGCAGCGCGGTTGCGCTGGTCCTGGGCATTGCCGAGGTTTCCGTCTGATCGAAAGAGTATTGGCTGAGGAGCTGGTCTTCTCAACCGCGATATCAGCAGCGTTGCACCCAGCGCAGACGGAGTAGATTTGAAGATACAGACTAGGCCACAATGTCCGGATTTACAGCGTTGAACGGGGCGTCGCTCAAGCCGGAAGCGATGGTAAACGGGACATCAGAGCCAGACCGGGTGTCGAGACCCGCTGAAGCCGCAGGCTATGGGGATGCTCGCGACCAGGACCGGCTTCCCCTGCCCGGCGTAGCCTCCTTCACGACCGAGAGCCAAGGTTCGCAAAAGCGCAAGCGTTCGATTGACGACGAGCCCAGGCGAGAGCGAGAGCGCTTTCCGTCCCCGCCGTATCGCCCCGAAAACGAGCAAGTGGAGCGTGCCCAGCCCGAGCAGAAGCCGGCCGAGGACTCTCGGGGTGATGAGCACTGGCGTAACCAGCAGCCGAGGGAAGACCGCGAGGGAACAAACCCGACTGGGTCGAGCTCGGCCCCGGCCAACGAGAGTGCGAAAACAAGCCAGCAGGCTGACGGCGAGCAGGGAGACAAGACTAGCCCTGACGCCGAAAACAGTTCAGGAGTCCAGAGAAAGGACGGCGTGCAGTCGGACCCCAAGAAGAGGAAGCGAAACTTTAGCAACCGCACCAAGACCGGCTGCCTGACCTGCCGGAAGCGCAAGAAGAAGTGCGACGAGTTGAAGCCTGAGTGTAAGTTTTTTTTGTTTTTTTTGTTTTTTTTTTTTGGTTTCCGTCGCGCATAGCCTTGAGGAAGGTCGCACGAGTTCGCATCATGGCTAACATGGCACCCAGGTAACAACTGCTATAAGGGCGGCTTCGTGTGCGCTGGCTATCCTCCGCAGAGGGGTACTTGGACCAAGCCCGAGAGCAAGCCGGCCCAGGTCAACATCGAGTCGAAGGACCCGAACTACGTCCCGCCAGGTGCATACAGCATGCCGCAGCAACCGGCCCCTCCTCCTCCCCCTCCTCCTCCGTCCACATACAGCGCCCCGCAGTCAATCGTGGGACAACAACCACCTAAGCGCGACACGTTGCCATATAACCGCGGCCAGCCAACGCTGCGTATCACAACCCCCGCGGGACGCCCGCTGCAGTCAGATGACGAGAGGACCGCGTCGACGATGCCCAGCTCCATCTTATCTCCCGAGAACAAGCTCTCGGCCCTGTCAGCATATACATCTTGCTCGAGTGCGAACGTCTTTCCTACTCCTGTCAGTGCTGCTGTCTCGGCCTTTTCAGACAGGACGCCCAAGGAGTACCAGAGAGTGCCGCCGCTACACGATCTGACCAGGACGGAACCCGACCAGCAGTCTTCTCTGCCGCCCCCTCAGAGTAGCACCCTGACGCATTCTCCTTACAGTATCGTACACGGCGGCAGGCCCGAGAGCACGCCGGCGTCGCAGCCGCCTTCCATATCGTCACAGTCTACGGCGCCCGGCGGTTCGGCGCAGACGACTGCCCAGCTGGCGTTGTCGCACTCGCAATATCCGCAGCACTCGCAGCGTCGCGAGAAGGAGGAGATGCTCGCCGGAAGGCAGTACTACCCGTTCGACCGCGAGCTGGTGTTGGAGCGCGAACGCTGCAACGCGGCGTGCTGGCGCTTTAACAACTCGACGAACCCGAACCTGGGTGTCTCACCGACCGAGCGGGCGCGCCTGTTCCGCGACATCCTGCAGCCGCGCGACCAGTCGGGGCTGTCACCTACCAACACTTCTCCGGTCACAGCGCAGGGCCGGGTGGGCGAAAACATCGTCGTCGAAGCCCCCTTTAACTGCGACTATGGGTACAACATCAAGATCGGCAACAACGTGCTCATCTACCGCAACTGCTACATCAACGACGTGTGTGAGGTGCGCATCGGGAATAACGTGATCATCTCCCCCTTTGTGTGCATCTACACAGGGCGGTGCAGCACCAATCCTAGGAATAGGCTGGGTACCCAGGGCACGCAGCACGGCAAGCCGGTAGTTATTGAGGACGATGTGTGGATTGGGGCCAACGCCATCATCTTGCCTGGGGTAACGATCGGGAAGGGGTCGACTGTGGGAGCGGGGTCGATTGTTACTAAGGTGAGTGTGCAAGTTACGACATTCAAGTTAAGAGAAGGGGAGGGGACAGTGTGCTGATAAAAAGACAGGATGTGCCAAAGTGGAGTATCTGGATGGGAAGGGCGGCAAGTTATAGGAGGGGTATTGATCCCCAGGGGACAGCTTACTCATGAAGATTTAGTGAGGCTTTATCCTTTTTTTTTGCTTGGTTTTTTTTCCTTTTTCGCTTTTTTTCCCCCCATTTTGGTCGGGTCATGTTTCAAAAATTTTGGTCCTTGGTGCTTATGATGTTTACTACTCACTGTCGATGTCCATTGTATTTCTTTTTTTTTTGTCAACAGCTACACTACACTGCTTACATGTACCTCGGCTAGGGGCAGACGGATGACACGGCATGGATGGAAGGTATGAACGCTGGCAACACTAGGAAGGGAAGGGACGAAGGGACGGATGACGGGATGGAGCTAAATGGGATACCCGGGTCGACTATCGACGGGAATTTTTAGTTTTCTGGTGGACTTTTTTTTCGTCCTTTTTTAGTACCGCGTACTACACTGCTTCTACTACTACTATGTATACCTACCTAACTTGCCTGCCTAGTTACTAGCTACGATTGTTACGGCGCTGCGCTGAGGAGATGTGGTGCCGCTGGAGTATATGATACCCCTTGTTTTACTTTATCTTTTTTCTATGTCATGGATCTATCTATCTGAGGTATGAGGAGGAATGGCGAGGACGAGGACTGTGTGCAGGTGTTTGTTATAGTGAGGTAGACTAATATGAGTTGATTGTGATGCACGATAAGGTGTTGTTATGACATCAACCAATAAAACCAATAAATGTGCTGCTATTTTGTCTGTACGGAGGAGAGAGTAGACGCATATGTCACTACTCAGCATCCACGAACACCACGTAATAATAATCAGTTGTGAAACAGATCTCTTGTTTTGGGAAAATTCCCTCAAGCTACTGGCAGTACGTATCTACCTTGCCTTAGTTTCGATATTTACTATTCGCGATTGTTGTTGTTATTGTTGTCCAGTGCTCCTTGCAACCGGGGACCTTAACAGAGGCACTTACTTCTCCTCCCACTCTACCCCAGGACAAAGATAGATGTCGACTCGAAATGTCGCTCCTACCATAGCATAGACGTTGGACATTTATGCTTGCTTGTCAACCAGGAGGGCTCCTGTAGCTCCCACGGCCGCAAGACATCACAAGAGATTCGCCGGACTGTCGTTCAGTGTAAGTAAGAACGATAGCACGGGAGAGGATACTTAACACTTATCCGGGAACGAAGGAAAGCAGGGTCAAAACCTGGCGGCATTCTGCTAGGATGAACATCGGCAAAGAAAAACACTTTCCTCTATCCCAAACACATCTCAACGTTCCGAAGACTGGAGGATATATCGGGCCAGGAGGTCACTGCGCTAGAGGTAACTAGCTCGAAAAGAGCTACGGCTCGTGCTTGAGCGAACATCATTACGTGGTCTAATAACTCTTCATCCCAATAACCCCCTACACATGGAAATAGTAGGTGGGAATCCAGCTCGTATCCCTTTTGCATAGCCGTCTCTTTGCCTGCCTGCCTGCCTGCCTGCCTGCCTGCCTATATTTTACCTCGTAGCCCAAACGTACCTATCCTCACTACCTCCTCCGAAACCAAACAACCCCCTTACTAACCCTATTTCCACACTTCCCCAACCTATCCATCCTGAATATCCTCTGCGCTCTACTAGGTCAACACCTTACCTCAACTCCTTCCTTGCTCAGAGTCAAATACTTCACCCCCTTATACGGCTTGACGCCTTCCCCTATCCCGCGACTCTTTCTTGTGTCTAGCACGATACTCTCCACGCGCAACCCGCTTGCTAGCCAGCCCCGCACAGAGAATGAGAGGCTTGCAGAGGTAGGCATAAGGATTTTATTCTGTTGTTGCTGCTTTTGAGCAGCGTCACCCCCCGGGTCGGCGGGTGTTCCTGAACTGGGAGGGGGGTGGGTAACAGAGGGGTCGTAACCGTGGTAGGATTGCGTAGGGAAACCCATCTCGTCTTCGGGGTTGACGGAAGCTTCGCCGCTGTCAAGGTCGCCGACGACGGTGCATCGCAACATGAAGGGCACCGAACCCAGTTGAGACAGCTCCTTGTTGTTGATGCTCCACTCCAGGATTCTCTCTGCCGCATGGAAGTTGGCGTCGCCCTTGGAAGGGCGGATCTCGCTTAGGTTCCTGACGGCGGGGGGCAAGGGGACGGTGACTTTCAGGTCGTGTAGCGTTGGCGAGGAAGAGCTGCCGGCTGATGTTATGGAGGTTCCTGTCGCGAAGCTGGCTAGGCTGGGGGCAGAAACGGAGGAGGAGGATGTCGGGGTGTGTGAGGAGCGCCCTAGCCCGGGCTGCACGCTGCCGGTCGAGGTGAAGGATTTGTTGAAGGTAAGGCGGAGCTCGAAGTCTGAACCTGTCGGGCCCAGCCCGGTCTTGATATCCAGCGAGACGGGGAGTTTGAGCTGCTGTTGTTGAGAGGAGAGGGTTGTCTCGGTAAGAGGCAACAAATCGACCTCATACCCCGCCAACGTGAACCTCCCATCCGGCGGCACAAAACTCAACACGCCGGGCTGCTCCTTCCAGCGTGCCAATCTCACACAGGGGTGAAAAACGGGCAGATCAATCAACCCCGTGAGTGCGTGTTTCCCCCCACTAGACGTTAATGTCACGACAATGTCGGGGATGCCTGAGACTTTGGCGGTGAAGACGATGGTGCCGTGGGCGAAGGCGGCGAGGGGCCGGCCGGAGGGAGCTAGCGTGATGGAGAGGGACTCGATCAGGTCGGCGTAGAGCTCGTTTGAGGTGTGGCGGACGTTGGTTCGGCGCCAGGGGAGTGCGGGAGCGGATGGGGGGGTCAAGATGGGGGGTTGCGGGAAGAGGGAGGAGGGAGTTTTTCTGGGTGTTAGCAGTCAGGTTAGCCATGGATTCAACGTAGGAGTTGGAAATGACAAAGACGGGGGAATTAAAAAGGAAGAGAGATCGGGAGAGAGAGAGAGAGAGAGAGAGAGAGAGAGAGAGAGAGAAGAGAGGAAGGAAGAAGAAGAGAGAGAGAGAGAGAGAGAGAGAGAGAGAGAGNGANAGAGAGAGAGAGAGAAAGAGAGGGAAAGGGAAAGAGAAAGAGATATTCAGAGGGAAACATACGCATTCAACCCCACCCCCCCTAACACCCTCTCCAAAAACCCCTCCACCTCAACCATCTCCCTCAACGCATTCGGCTCGGTGGTACTCACGACCCCCGCATCACACATCTCTGTGAGAAGTTGCGCCACGATATCATAGCTCCCCTCGATTTTACTACTCGTGACCGGCGCCCCAAGGAATTCCTCCAGCGCATCGACCACGCGATGCAAGAACTCAAGGGCGAGCAGCGGCTCAATGTCTTGCGACGAGGTAAGGAGCAGAGTCAAGGAACCATGGCGCAGGCTGAAGACAAGGGTTGGCGGGACAACGTTGGGGAGGTAGATCAGGTTTGGGCGAGGCGCAGGGTGGGAGAGATAGAGCGGGAGGAGGGCGGCGGCTGGAAGGGGACGGGAGGTGTATGTGTGGGAGAGGAGGAGCGTGCTAGATGTTAGTTAGTTAGTAAACGTTGTGTAAGGGCGCTGGGAGGGTGTAATGACGCACTCGTGCTCGTCGAGAATGTGCAGCGCCTCGATGACGCCGTTCATGGTGGTAGTTGCGGTTGGGGTTGGTGTTGTTGGTGTTGGAGGGGAGTTGGACGGTGATGGCGATGCGACCACTGACGCAATAGCTAAGGTGGGGCCCCACTCACTGCAGCTCTTAGCGCTCACAGTCCAGCCTTAACTTCAACCTCTATATCATGAGGTAGAAGAAAATAAGGATTTATTTACTTCTCTAACCAAACATTAACACTATGGTATCCCAATTCCCAACGCCTATGCACAAGCACAAACCCTATCTACAATTCCTTCCACCCCCTCCCCCCCCTCTTCCTCCTTCTTCCTCTTCCTGTCGCCCAGCCGGCCCCCCGCCCCCTCCCCTCCCCCCCCCCTTCCTCTCTAAACAACAACAACAAAACAAAAACAAAAAACAAAAAAAATAAACCCTAACCCTCAAATCATACACCCCCCTCCGCCTTTTTGAATTATCACTCAAATCATCACTCGTCCGGCTCATCAACCAAATGCTCCGTCTCTTCCAACCCCCTCAAACATTCCTCAATCTCGCTCGGATCAGTAATCGCCCAGACGCCTCCCCCTTTAACAACATCCTTCCCGCGCATGCCGACCTCTTTCCCGACCAAATTCCTGCCCACCTTGCCCGGCCCAATCCCAACCCACCTCCTCACCCGACACTCCTGGTCCAAATACCGTATACTATCCCACCAGCGCACCGTCTCGAGGCACTGTCTCGCGAGCAAGTCTTTCAACTCCTCGCGGGACTCGAACGGTCGCGCAGTGACGTTGCTCACGCAGGGAATCTTCCCCGGCCAGACTACAATCTCGCTGTTCTGTCTCCCCGAGGCACGAGACTTTTCGTGGGCCAAGATATCCCGCATGACCTCCACGGCAGGCCTCATGATCGGCGAGTGGAACGGGTCCTCGCTCTTGAGCCGTACCGCGCGCGGGTCGTGCCCCAGGAACTGTCGCACATGCGCGACAAGCGTCTTGATCCGTTCAATACTCCCCGACAAGACGATCTGGTTCTTGGAATTAATGTTCGCGATCAGCACCTGGTCGATTGGCGGGGGGTGCACGTCCGCGTCGTCATCTTGTGCTGCTAGCGTCGAAATCGAGCGCCCGTTGCCGACGAATTCATCGATGGCGCTGATTAGGCCGGGGAGGTAGTCTGGCTCGGTCACGACCGCCACCATGCCGTACTCCCCGCCGTACTGTTGTATGGCGGCTTGCGTCGCCGCAGCCATGGCATCTGCCCTCCGCTGCGTCATCCACAACCCATCTTCGAAGCTTAAATACCCCCCCGCCACGAGCGCCGCAAATTCCCCGAGACTATGTCCCAGCGTATAGTCCACCCTCTTCTCTGTATCAAACCCGAACTCCTGCTCCAGCACCCTGAGTATCAGTATACTCGTCGCCATGATGGCCGGCTGGGCATGGGGGGTGAGTGAGAGCTTGCGCGGCGGCCCGTCCTGGATGATTGCGCTGAGTTTGTACCCCAGGATGGAGTCGATCTCGTCAATGAGGGGTTTGGCCGTGCGCGGAAAGGCGTCGAGCCAGGGGGTTAGCATGGAGACTTTCTCCACGCCTTGGCCGGGGAAGAAGAGGGCTGTTTTCGGGCGAGGGGGTTTCGATGGGGGGGTTGTTGGTTCTGGAGATGGGGTTGAGGAGACATGGCGGGAAGATATTGGCTGGAGGGGTTGTCGCTGGGAGAGGGAAAATCGGGAACAGCGCGGGCGGCTCGCGGCGACGAGCAGGCGAGCAGCCCCGCGCAGCATTCTTTGCGATGTGCTTAGCTCAGACGTCTCGATATATCGTGTGGCTCTATGTTAGGGGAGGAGGAGGAGGAGGAGGAGGCCCTTCGTAGGTATCGCGTGCTAACCCTCTAGGCCTCGGTTCGGTGAACTAGACTTGCCCTTGCTATTAAATCGTAGAGCCGTAGAATCGCAAAAGGTCGCTCTGTTGAAAAAAAAAAAACAAAAAAAAGAAAAAAAGGGCTAAGGCACTCCGTATATCGTCGGCATGCAAGGCCAAGCGGGTACGTGAGCGGGACGGGATGCCGATCGGACTTCGGGAAGAAGATTGGACGAAGACCCTAGAACTTCCAGCCAGCGACCATGGATGTGTGCTACGCCTGGGGACGAGTCTGGCGCTGGGGAACAGTCGGATGGAAGTGCGGGACCTGGAAACTGGGGAACGGCTCGGTAAATGGGGCCGGTACTCGTCGCATACATCACGATGAACCACCAAAGAAGAAAAATCCTTAAAACTCGAGTAATAAAAGGGGAAATATAATTTTAAAATATACCAACAAAGATAAGAGCTTATTAATTTTTTTAATATTATTTAACATTTTCTTTCATTTTTTCTTGTCGAATATTTGCGTTTCTTCTTCTCACCCCAGGTACACGCTGGAACCACCAAAGAACCGCAATCCAGCCTTGGCATGCCAAGCCGCCAAGCTTATCGCAGACCCACAGCAGCAATCAACTCCACTGTGCTTTCTTGGAATCACAACTCACTTTGACTTGAAAGTTGAATAACTACTTTCTCACTCATCGGCTCTCATATTCCCAGCCCGACCACTTAATTCAAGCAACTTGAAATTTGAGGTTATCCGATTAGGCCACTCTTGCTTACCCCAAGTTTCTGTTTTAGCCGGTTTATCAAAGCAGCACATCAACCGACACCAACCAGCCTCAAAAAAAGAAACAGAAACGAAAAAAAAAAAAGGAAAGCTAAAATCTCGACTCTTCAACAACTCACCCCCGACTTCAATCTCTACTTTTCCCACAACAAGCTCATCAAGATGCCTATCACAATTCACGCTCCCCTCCCCCCCCCACGTCTCCACGACGAGGACTCTGACGTCGACATGTCCTCCGACAGCGACTCTTCCTCCGAAGGCGGCGTCCCCCTCACCTCCAACCTCCCCTCTCGCGCCAAACCCAAGTCTTCCCTCTTCACTACCACAAAATCCTCGTCAGACATAGTAACCCCCGGCGAACTAATCACTACCTCCCCCCAATTCATGCGCGGCCACGGCACCTACATCCCCCCCGGCACAACCAGCATCATCTCCTCGGTCGCGGGCACTATCCTCCGCACCAACAAACTCTTGTCTGTCCGCCCCCTCCGGGCGCGCTACACCCCAGAGGTAGGCGACCTCGTCGTGGGCCGCATCATCGAAGTTCAGGCCCGCCGGTGGCGGGTTGATGTGGGGAGTACGCAGTTCGCGTCCCTGCCGCTGAGTGCGATTAATCTGCCGGGGGGTATACTCAGGAAGAGGACGGAGACGGACGAGCTGCAGATGAGGAGTTTCTTCTCCGAAGGAGACCTGTTAGTGGCGGAGGTGCAGGGGGTGTATGGCGACGGCGGGGCCGTGCTACACACGCGCTCGCTCAAATACGGGAAGTTGCGCAACGGGGTGTTTGTCGCCGTGTCTGGCATGGGCGGAGGAGGCGGTGTTGTCCGCTCACGGCGACAAGTCTGGACGTTGGAAGGGGCCAACGGCGCGGGATTGATTGACGTCGTGCTGGGGGTGAATGGGTATGTGTGGATCGCGAAGCATACGGAGGATGGCCCCGGGGAGGATCCCAACGCTAGTACCAAGCAGGTGGGGATTACCAACCTTGAAGAAGGCATGAGTGCCAATATGTACAGCAGTCAAAATGATCGGATCGAGGCAGAGACCATGCGGGAGATTGCCAGGTTGAGGGGGGTCGTGATGGCGTTGGTGGAGAATGGGCTCAGGGTGGATGAGGATATGGTTATGAGGGGGTATAGGGAGGCGGTCGAGATGGCGCTTGTGTCGCCCGAGGGGCCGGAGGATGTCTACCTTGGGGGGGAGAGAGGGAGGCAGTTGGCTGCCGCTTTGACTGCTTAAGCTGGATGGCAGGGCCGGAGTATGAGGAGGATGGCTTCATCGATTATGGATGGACATCAGGGATAGGTCAGCCAGAAGGCTATGTCATCATGCATGAGCAGCAAGAGGATCGGCTAGTTCGAGAAACCTTTGACGAGCTCAGAGGACAGGGAGGGCGGAACAATGGCATGTTGGTTGGGGGGAGGAGGAGGGGGGGGAAAGGCGGAGATAGAGAAAACTATGGATGTGGAAACCTACGAGGTAAAAAGCTCATGTATTAAAGCTAGGGTCGATCGATAACTACGAGGCTACTATAAGATGGTGGCCGCCGGCCATTAAGATTACTAAGTCCTCGTTCCGGGTATGGCGACACCAACGAATATAAGCAAGCGAGTCCTCGATATGTGACTCAGCGATAACGATACGATCGAGAATCAAACTGACCGAAAACACGCAGTCGCTGGCATGATATAGGTATCAGGTCGATTCGGCATCACTCTTCATCTGTTGACAATAAAAAAAATCAATTAGATACGCTTGGCCTGAGAGCACGGAGAGAAGCAACGATATACAAGAAAACCAAGAACCGGGGAGATAATAAGACACGACGGCAGCAGATGAATGATCCCTCAGGATGGCCCCCCCCCCCCAAAAAAAAAAAACCGACAAGGTCCTTAGGGGAAAACGACCCTGAGGACACCAGTCTCAACTACGAGACAGTTTACTTCCCCTGACGCCCCCCCTTCCAAACCCAATTCGCCAGCACCACAACCAACCACCTAATCAACGCACCTTTGACGCTCCCCCCGCCCAGGGTAATCAGCAACTTAATCCAATACGCCCATCCCTTGATGAGCTTTCCGTCCCGATCAAAGTCGGGCTTCTTCTCCGTCAGCATGGCCAGTCGCTTCATGTGCTTGACGTCGAAGGGCATGTAGCGCACGCGCAGCAGCGGCTCGACCCAGCGCGGGGTTTCCGCGACGGTGCGCTTATGCGAGAAGCAGTCGAAGCTCCAGCGCCCGTGATAGCAGCCCAGCCCGGAGTCGCCCACGCCGCCGAAGGGGATCGTGTTAACGCTGCCGTGGAAAAAGGCGTCGTTCAGGGTTGCGCCGCCGGAGGTCATTTCGTTGAGGACTGCTGCCAGTTAGCATAGAACTTTGGTAGTTGGTTTTGCAAAAAAGGGGGAAACTCACTCCGCTCATTCTCCTTCTTGCTCCCAAACGCATACAGCGCGAGAGGCGTGCGATGTACGAGATTCGCCACATTCAGCGCCTCGTCGAGCGTATTGACCGGGTAAATGGCAAAGATGGGCCCGAACGACTCCTCCTGCATCATGGCATCATCCACCGAGCTGACCACGACCGCCGTCGGCTCAATATACAGCTCACTCTCGTCCACCTCGCCGCCAATCACAATCCGCCCCTTCGTCTCATCAAGCATCTTCTTGATCCTCGCAAAATGCCTCTTGTTCACGATCCTCGCCAAATCGGGGCTCTTCTTTGCTCCTTCAGGGAACATCTCCTTATACGCTTGCTTCAGCGCCTCCACAAACTTGTCGACCAACCCTTTCTCGATCAGTACATAATTCTGACTGAGACACACCTGCCCGCAATTCACCGTCTTGCCCCAAAGCAGTCTCCTCGCAGCCAACTGCAGGTCCGCATTCTTCGTAACAAAAGCCGGATTCCGCCCCCCTAACTCCAACGTCACAGGCGTCAGCGTCTCCGCCGCCTTCTTCGCAATAATCGTGCCCACCGCCGAGCTGCCCGTAAAGAAAATCTTGTCCCACTTGATCTCCATGAGCGCGCTCGTCTCCGCGACGCCTCCATTCACCACAGCGAAAGCGCCCTTCTCCAGTCGGGCTTCGACCAGCTCCTTGATAACCATCGCCACGCTAGGCGTCAACTCACTCGGCTTCAGCACGGCCGTACACCCCGCGGCAATAGCACCAATCAACGGCGAGATGAGCAGCTGCACGGGGAAATTGTAAGGTCCGATAATTAATACCGTGCCCAGGGGTTCTTTCCTGATCCTGAATTTCATAGCCGCGAACGCGACGGGGACATCCGGACTTTTGAGCTTCTCATCTTTGGCGTACTCGTCAATGTGCTCCAGCATGAACAGGCAGTCCTTCTTGAGCCACTCGATTTCAGTGAGGAGGGACTCGTAATCGGAGCGGTGCAGGTCGGCGCGTAGGGCGGCGAGGAGACGCGGTTTGAAGTCCTCGATGGCCCAGTACAAGCGCCGGAGCTGGGTCTTGCGCCAGGCGAGGGTCTTGGTTTTGTGCGTGCGGAAGGTGGAGCGGGCGGTACTGGCGATGGAGGGGATGGTGTCGAGAGGGGTAGCCTTAAACTCGGTGATGGCCATGTTGATGGATTTTTTTTTTTTGAAATATATGCGGCTGATGTTGGTAAGGGAAGATGTCCCGAAGATAGGAGGGAGGATGTGAAGGAAAAAGACCTGGAGGGGCTTAATCCAGGTTATCAGACTCAAATAGATAGAGAATTGGTCTGACCTGATACAGATCCGAGTCAACACACCACATACACAACAACAGCGACAGCGCGTGTGTGTGTGTGTGTCAATAAGGAAAAGTGATGGCGATGTGTTGCGGCGTCGTGGTGGTGTTGTTGCAGACCTTTAAATGAGGGTGTCCCAGGCCAAGATGCTGCTGGCCAGGAGTGGGCCGAGGCAGAGGGGACATCCTTGTTGCGGGGTTGTTACAGAATGAGTTACGGGTATTGTATCGTCTGACGGGGTGGATGCCAGGGCATGTACGGATCCGTAGGCGTCCTATCTTTTTCTCAGTTTTGTCTCCCAAACTTTGCATCTCTAAATACTTCTAAGATGTTATCCTCTAATACATTGTTTACCGTAAGACGCTTACCGTACACCTTGAGCCTCAAACCACAAACGTTTTCCTTCCCCCCTTCCCCCTTATTGTTATATGCCCTTACAGTAATTACCCCCAATACCCGGGTCATACACCCCGAAACGTCATACCGTCCGCGGACTGTGTGCTAGACCGTGTGCGAACGTTGCACGCCAATCTGACCTGCAGCCTTGGCGCAGCACCTAGAAACTCCCCCACACGCGGTACCGAGGCAGACGACGGTGGACGGCCAAGGCGTGAAGTAAGGTATGCATCTGATGATGGTGTGAAGTTGAGACAACTCAATATTCTTTGAGACAAAGTCTGACCTTAGAGTAATAACATGGGCTAGATACCGTCATTATTTTTCACATAATTTCATATGGCCTAGATCTTGGATACTGAGATCAACCGTCCGGAAGTCCCCTCTTCAGAAATCGTGGGTTCAACCTCATCACATGCTCGATGGGACCTCCAACGCTAGCTTGGGCACCAATCCAATATCCGGGTGGACTCCGTCGGATGTGTTCCGGGGCGTACTATGGATGGGGCTCTCTGTAAGCGTTGTGGTATCAACAAACGTCCATTGCATTCCTATCATACATGCCAGACATCATCAAAGGCCCATCAACATCGTACCAATTCTATGCGCTTAATACACAGTACAGTAAATCATAGTACAATCCGTCCAGGCCTATCGTTTAGACAGCCTGGGCGAAGGTAGGTAGGTAGGTAGGTAGGTAGGACAGACAGGATATATACACCTTCATTCTCAACATCAATTCCCCCATTCAATTCCTCAACTCAACTCCGACGTGGATGGGACACCGTCTACCGAACCCTCTGCTGCTGTCCTTGCGGCCCACCGCGCACCATGCGCACACCAACCGGAACCGGCTGCTTCAGCGCTTGCTCGACTACCTTGCGACCGTCGACGAGTAGGCCTTGCTCCCGCTTCTGCTCGTCCAACAGCAAGGCGCGCTTGCGCTCCTCCAGCAGCTGCTGCTTGCGCTCAGGAGTCAAATACCACTCGCGGGGGAACTTGATCGGCTTCTTGAACTCGTGATGGCGAGTGTCGAGGGGGATGTCGGCGAAGGTGTCGGTGGGGTCCTACACACAACTATTAGTATTGAAATGTTCGCTCGCTTGAGGGGAAGAGTAAACGAAGAGGAAGGGGGGAAGGGCTTGCCTTGGCCGCAGCAATTAGCTTGTTCACCAGATCGCCCAAATACCGCTTGTTCTGGGCCTGGTGCTCGAAGCGCTCGCAGCTCATGCGCACAATGTCCTTCTCCGGGTTATACCGCGCGCCCGCCAGCTTCTTGAGCTTGAGCTGCTGCTCCTCCGTCAGGCCCGGGATGTCGGACGGGCAGAACTCCACGACGACCTTCCTGTCGCCGGGATGCCACTCGCCCATGTAAGTGGTGTACCGGAAGCGCAGGACTTGTTCCTGGGTAGGAGGCTCGAACTTCTTGGCCAGTTCTGTATGCCGTTAGTATTTCTTTCCATCTCCCAAATTAACCTCCAGAAGAAAAGGGAACCTACTAGCCAGCAAAGGCATCTCCCAAATCGCCACCCTCGCATAATGCCGATACTCGCGATGCTCCTCCAGCTTGGCGTGCGCCATAGCAGTCATATCATCCTCGTCGAAATCATCTTCCCCGACCTCATCCGTGATCAAGTCCCTATCACTCTCTTCCTCATTCCAGAATGTATCCTTCCGTGGCTTCGGCACCGCACCCCTCCGCACAGTCTGCATCATCTCCAGCTCCAGCCTCTCCAGCTCCTCGCGGTCGCGCGCAGGCACCTTCTGCCAGCGCTCCAGCAGCTCGCGGGCGGCTTGCCGCTCGGCTTCGGACGAGGACTCCGAGTTCGCGATGTGCGATAGGATCTCGTCGGGTGACATGAAGGTTACCTCCGGGAGGCCCCAAGCCCCCGGAGCATCGTCGTCCTCCTCGTCTTCGTCGGCTTCGTCGTCGGAGCGGCGGGACGGGGTCGTTGAAATCGGTCTCCGGGCGATCATCGTAACCGCGGCGGGGGATATTTGATGCTGGAGTTGAGGACGCTTGCTGAGCGCAACAACGGCAGCAACGCGGTGGTTTGCTACCGCCGCTGCCAACCGGCTGCTGCCAGTGCCCGTGCTCCGGACGCAGAGCCGGAGGATTTGGGCGGGGGAGGCCATTGTTTTTCTTGGGTTGCGTTGGGAGGGAGGGAGGGTAAGTAGGGGCGGCGGCCGCAATCGAGTCGATCGAATTGGGGTCGACGACGACGACGAGGGTTGCGGTGCGGCCTATCTTTCTCTCTCCTGTCTTGCTCTCACTCGGTCCGGGGACGAACGATAATGCGCAGGCCCCAAATTTTTGGGAGGTCCAGGTCCCGCAGTTGGATGATGCCAAGAACAAGAACGCGGGGTCCAGCCACGGTGTTGTATGGGCAAGCCACGCACCGCCACAGGTACGTACCTATCATATATGACAGGTCAGAGGGTGCGAAGACCCCGGGGAAATGATTCACAACTTTGGAGAGTCTTCGAAGAGACAATGAGGCATATTGATTTTATTTTTATTTTTATTTACAGTGAGAGACAGCTCAATATGTGTGGATCTTCGGCAGGATCCTACAGGAGGTCCTGACGAACATCACCATTACCATTCGTTCTCTAAGGCACTTTGAATCATCAACAACAACGAATTCCAGCCAGCCCATTCCCAAGATCCGTATACAAGCCTCTTAATTCACGATCTTTATAAGCTAATTACTGAGCGACACCTGACATCAACAAGAACTCCACGACGCTCTCCCAAGGTAGGTCACTTTCAACCCAGTAAGTTAGGCACCCATTTCGCGGTAGATTCGTTTTTGTCACATCCCGCTTGACATCAATGGAAGCATACCCAACGTTGAGTAATTGACAATTACTGCACCATGACAAGAGGATTGTCGTGTATGAGCAGGTATTGAATCAGATCCACATGAAGCAAGACAGCTTTTTTGGCATGACTTGCGCCATGGCTGTCATCAACAGTTTACTCTGGAAGTGAGAACACCCTGTCCTTTGTTTACCTAACAGAGTCTTCTTTGCTTCAAACACGTTCCATTGTTTATATATCAGCATACTGATTTTACCCGTGATATGGGCACTAGTCATGAGCTTTATCCCTATGGCCATGCGGTCGGAGCAAATCTCTTATGGCTAGTTAACAGATGAGAAGCAAAAAGAGACCTTCCTCTCCATATGTCAACTTGAATATAAATAGCAGTCTATGCCCATTGCAATAGAGTCTGTGGATACAACTTCAGCCAACCATATTTGTATACATAGTACTTGATCCTAAACTTATGCCCGCCGATGTATATACTTATATATATATCCCTACTCAACTCTACCATTTAAGACTCCGCCAACACTATTACTAGGTCTCATACCAGCTACTCTTTCTCCTCCATCGACACTCCAGTCGGCACAAAGGAGGTAACAACATGCGCTTGTAAGAAGTATAAATGTCAACAGACAGTGTCTGAGAATGGGCTGCGGTGTCCTCGTTGTCAGGAGAAGTGTACTAGTGATGACTGAACAGTGGCAGTTTACCATGCTTTAGACAGGGTACTAACGTGATATTTCGAAATGCGTTGTTGTTAATCGGATGCCTGATTAGTTATAAGACATGGCTCTTTAGTGGTCATTCAGTTGTGGAAACTGATTGAGGTGAACAGGCAAAGCTATAGAAGTTGTAGCAAATGGTCTTTGCATGCATGTAAGCTTTTCCGATATACTTTCTGTGAGCTTTACTAGCTCACATACCTTATTGGTGTGTAAGGTATCGAGATGCGTGGCGGTATGCAGATTTGCTAAGCTGCTGCAACGAACGAGGGTCTCTACGAGGATCCAATTCTGTAGGCTCTGGCAAGAAAACGTCTACCCTCCAGGCCTCTTGTCTCCCGGAATGTAATCGAGATGTAAGTTTTTGGAAGCATTCCGAGAACATGTATCTCTGTCTACGTTAGGATAAGTATCAGTTGTGAACCCGTTGATAAAGAGTCTAGAAGCTTTGCATTGGGTTTCTGTTGGCTCAACTAACATCATTGAACAGAGTCAAAAAAAACAAAAACAAAAAGCACATAACACGTTAATGTTTCACACAACAGGCTTGTTCTTTCGACAGAAGGCATTGCCTATGCAAAAGGTAGGTATTCATGGCTTTTGCTTTGCAGAACGTGCCTGCCAGAACCATTGTGCCAGGATTAAGGCTCAGAGTCGAGGGAAAAAAACAGTAAAAGAAAAGACAACAAGTCACAGCAGGGGAAAGAAAACACACCCCTTTCACTTATGCTTGAATACGAAGAGTTTACCCTGTTGAGCGTCACAATAAGCTTAAGAAATTCTGGCGTTTACTAGATGGTAGCAAATCACGGTCATTCTGTTCATCAAACGGCTCGAAATGGATCACTGATGCCCTTGTTGTGTTCGTTTTATTTGCGAAATTTGCATTTTGGTATGCCTACACCCCTTCCTACTGACAATGTGACCGGTTGGCCTCTGATTTACTCTCTTCTGGGCTGCTTGATCTCAGAGGCTTTTGTCTCAGTTTTGCTTGTTCTCATTTAAGGAATTCACAGCCAACCATTGAGTTTAGAGGACTCGCTCAAATACCGAAACATCCATGAGCTAGCGGCGACGCTGCCCAGCAACAATTTTTACGTTGCAATGGCGCCGCGCTGGCCGTGGAAACTGTACAGGTATTCGATAAACGGCATCGAGTTATATATTTTTCATCATTGTATGGATCCAGCCGCCAATGGTGGCGAAGGATTCCCAAAGTCTGTTCTGGAGGAAGCGATTTTTTTTTTTTTTAGCAGCGGACATTGGTTCTGCCCGGACGTGCTCGCTGTCGGGTGCGAAGACCGGTCGCACGGTTTCAGTGTTGCCATCGATTTCAATATTTAGCGGAAAGTTCCTTGCGTTGATGCGAGCCTGATCGGCCGGTAGATAGCGGTTCAGATCCAGAGCCTTGGGTATGGGACAGCACACGTTGGGCAGTACCTGTGGCTTGTCGGGCTGAACAGCCCGTCGCACTAAAAAACGTCGATATCCGTCTTCAGAGCGACTACCGCATCTTTGGCATCATGTTCAATTGCAGAGGAGGTTGTATCAGACATTTCCATGGTCCAAGTGGCCGCCAGTCCATCTACGCCGACGTCGGTGAAGAGGGCCAGAATGGGGTCCTCATGTCTTCTCAGTTGCATGCTTGAACTGCCCGATGTCGACCGTTGACTCAGTCCAGATTTTATCCCGAGTCAACTTGGGATTAAGTTTGCCATGTGATCCGATATGTGAAGGTTTAGCATCATAGTTGCCGGGGTTGGGGAGAAGGTTGGGATGGGTTGCAGTTGTCTCGGTCGAACTCCTCGGTCAGACGAGCATATTCCAGACGGGGTAGGTAGTCAAATGACCAAACTAGTTTATGCTGCTCGTTTTTTTGGATGAAAACTTCCAAAGAATATCTTCCATGGCACATTCAAGCTGTGTATTCTCAGAACCATTTCTGAACTTTACCTTTAGACGCACAAGACGCTGGATCCCAGTATAAAGTAAAGTGCCACAGATGCGTCGTTCTGATTCTGACGAGTCTCCATTGTCCTTAGGGAAATCGATGAGAAGAAATTCGTATCTGAAAAGAGAGTAGTGATTTTACCAAAAATACGTGCGTGAGGAGATGCGCAACGCTTCGAAAAGTGCAGTTTGAGCAGTCAGTCTCTTTCGCGGTATACATGTAACTAAATACATCACTCTGATTGGTCAATGAGTGCACAAGCGCGATAAGCGCGAAGATCAGTCCCCACTTGCCGAAAACAGAATTTGTCCGCTCGCTGATTCGCCAAAAGTTCGGTCATAAGCGCGCCGCAGACGAAACACATCAGAACTGCTTTTCTCCCAAGGATATCTCCAGACCACCTTTCTGTTCATTCTAGCTGTCAATTCCAGATCTGAATTTTTTCCTAAGATAAAACCTGGGAAATTTTCGTTTTGGGCTGTGGGGCCCATTCCTGGCTCCAGCAGAAAATGCCATGCTTTGCACCCTCTCCCCTTCGCCCTAGGCCTACCAGCGTTACCACCACTCGTCTTTGCCTTCTTTTGTGCCACGTTACTCAGTCTGCTCAGTCTCCTCTGCAACTTATTGAGCTTATTTGTTGTTTTTTCTTCTTGATTAATGAGCAGCTTGCAAGAAGTGCTATTGTCCCATCTTTCGGGCTGGTAGTTCCATGGCTCTTCGTAGAGCAGATATTATTCCTCATCTCCATTACATTGCTCGCAGCCTCTTCCGTCAATAAACGCTTCTCGGAAATGGACGTCCTTCTGGATGAAGATGGCTGAAGGAGAGTAGGTCTCGCCCGCCTTCCCGCTAGCTTATATTCCCTTGGAGTCGTTCCCGGATCTACAAACCTGGTGGCGGAGCGAATGGATGGAGTCAACATTGGAGGGGCGCATGCTTGTGCGGTCTGTGGATACGATAATAGAGTGTCTGGATGGATTCGACTGCGACCATTATGAAGTATTATATTTGACGTATGTAGTCGAAACGAGTTGCTTTCTACATATAGTACGGTTCTGGTGTAACACTGTCGAAGATGGTGTTGATGGAAGTTGGACCTGGGTGATTGAGACCAGCTACCGGTTTGGCTGGACATGAGTTAAGTTACGGACAAGCTCCCGTAGGAGAGATGAATTGCGAGGGAACTGGCTGAGGAGGGAAGCGCGGTAGCGTTTTGATGTGCAGGCTCTGAGTATTCGGAGGACTCGAAGGAAGATATCGCTCGGCTGCCTAAAGATCCGGTCCGGAAGGCAACCAAGCGTCTCTCATACTCCCTCTTCAGCTTTCTCATAAACCTTGTTTGAGTTGTGGAAAGGTCCACAAGACAGTAGACATGAGTGACAAAGCTGCGAAACGACATGGACACGGTTCTTCTTCTGGCCCTCCGTGCGGTGGGTGGAAGCTTGTGATCGCGAGTCCATATTAGCAGCGCTATGCTTGAATCACCAGATCTTATATCTTGGATGATCTATGATTGACCTATCTCTTAGAATGATTCAAAGTGTATATGACCGAGAGGGTCAGTAGAGGTATTTGACGATGTTGATGTACGCAAGTAAGCCAGTAAATAACAAACCGAACAGGAGAACACAGTCGGGCTGTCAAGTGGTAGGTCAGTTCCAGATATAACCAGCAAGCTTTTCTCTCGCGTAACTTTCTGTGTCATTCTTGGAAGAACTCTCCTAAATTTATGAAGGAAATAATTGAAAGAACATGGAAACGCGAATAAAATCACAGGCTACTCGACCCCAGAGCCTGATGCAACCTACCCAAGTTAGAGTGGAGAGTGGCAAAGCTTGTCTTTCTAAGGTGGTCATAGATATGAGAGCGGGGAGACAACGGACTTCTATTCAACCAATAGAATGCGAAATAGAGGATCAAACGGCCAGTTACTATACAGAGCGGAGTATCAGTTATGACAAACGCACCTAGAAATGCAAAACGTCACGCGCTCAAACTATGACCCCCAAGGGCAGATGATAAATCAAATCGAATCCATTAGAACAGGGCAAAAGTCTCCGAGCGCAAAATCTCTTCACTCCTACCAGCGTGTCGCAGTCGTCACCATCCGACAACGTCTCTCAACAGTCACAGGACCTGGTGCCAAAGGCGGCGGCCAGACCAGATGGAGCTGGCACAGGAGACGACTGGACGAGACAGGGGCACAAATCTCGCAGTGTGACGCAGGCTTTGGCTTGTTCCTGGCGCGGTGGAGCCTTACCTAAGCTGTGCCCCGCAGCGGCGCCCCACCCCACAGCATTCCAACGTCAGCTCCATCAATCACAGCGGTTTGCCCGCGGATCTAGAAGGCTCGCACGCGACAGCGTCTTGTCAGGAAGGAGCCAATGCATAGAAACGAGGAAAAAGAATGCATCATGAAAGCCGGTGTCCCAAGCCCCTCACTGCAGGGCAACGAATCGCAGTGCGATTTTGCATCGCCGATTGAGTGATACTTGCAGACCGCCCAAAGGTTTCGGGAAGGCTCGCTGCGAAGGTCGCGTGGTTCGGGTTCCTGGTGGCAAGTGGGGACTCCGCCTCAACGGACTTGGTATCGATCAGAGAAGCTCTGGCTTGAACAAGGGTGGGTTGTGATCGGGTCGATTGGATGAGAAGGCCGCACAAAGAGCGCAAACTGGTTCCGCACAAACCACGCATGCCATGAAAAACCAGGACCAGGCTACTGCAAAGCAGGCAACCTTGTTGTGCCTGCCAATCTCGAGTAAGCTAGAGGTATCTGGTGGCATCTGTGACGTGGGGTGGGATGAAGGGCAATGCTTGCCGTCGTAGGTCTATAAGTAGAGCTTTGTCTTTCTCTCGAGCTCCCTCGAGTTTCCTTTCTTCTTCAACAAGCTATTTCAAGCAAACCAATTACGCCAAGACCAGCTTAGAACTCGCATCCAAGTGAAACAACACCTCCAGCAAACAGTCATCTCACCAGTCAAACCATCTTCAAAAACCATAAAGATGTCCGGTAACTGCGGTTGCAGCAGCGGCAGCTCCTGCTCATGCGGCTCTGGCTGTAAGTGCACTTCTTAGAGACCTTCATCAGCCTCGTTTTTGAGCTGTGCTAAACCATGTCGATTAGGCTCTTGCACCGGCTGCGGCAGCAAGTAAACGTCCTTCAACCATAGCCCCAAGTTGAAGCCTTCTCCAGTTCGATAGCTAGGGCTGGCTTACCTCCGGGGATGGAATCTCGACATGAACCAAACTGGGTTACGTCTTCACGGGAAAGGGATTTCAAAATGGATGTGCGGCGTTCCAGGGACTTTCATGGACGGTCATTTTCAGTCATGGGTTGATAGGATAGGAAGCCATTCTGCTAGGATTGAGCAGATCACTTGAGAGTCATCAATTGAATCTCTTTTATATCGAATATCATCATCCATCAGGAGTGCTAGTGTTTGTTCAGCTTTCTATATCGGTAAGATGCTAATGCGGTAGGTCGCGTGATTAACAAACTCTACGGTCTAGGGAGTCAAAGAACCCAGAAGTTCGGGGTCTAGTAATTTTACATGTAAAGGACAGCCCGCTATCGGTCAGCCACCAACCCACCCATCCCAACACCAGAACTGACCCTATGTTTTTAACCCCAAATCTCCCCTGCCCTTCATCTTGCTCCCGACCAGCCGTCTGAAACCCTCTTCCAATGCCACAACAACCTTTTCCACATCCGGCGGTTTCGGCTCCCCCGCCATCTCCCAAACATCTCCAACCACTGGCTTCGGTCTGACCTCCCTGCCGCTCCTGATTGGGCCCCTCGCCGTTGCGGGCCCGATGGGCGTGGTGTTAAGCAGGTTCTCCCAACGGGAAAGGTACATCCCTGGTCCGGTGTGGGATCCTGTTGAGGTAAGGCGGAGAGGGCTGTTGGATCGCGAGACAGGAAAAGTATGGGATGATGTGTAGCTTGTGGACGTGTCGCAGGGTGAGCCGGAGAGGGGCGTGGAGGTTTGAGGAGATTCGGACAAGGAAGGGTGGGAGCACGACACAGTTGCCGAGAACTGGGAGTTGACCGGTGATGGAGTGGGAGATATTGAATGGATGTTATCGAGAATGCGTTGCATGCGGGCACGGGAAAGTTGTTTAAGCTCTGCGAGGTACTTTGCGTGAGCGTCGATAGAGGGTAGGATGTTACTGCGAGTGTCCGGGGGAAGTGATAACCACAAGTTTTGAAGGCCGTTGCTCAAAGCACCAGCTCCCTCATGTTCATTTTCAGGGTTTATAGGCGAGGAAGAAGCTTCCTTTGTCGCCCGCTGGAATACCTTCGCTGATTCCTTTGCCCAAGCATGAAACTCGTCACGGATAGTCGGACAACGAGCAGCAACTTGGTGAACCCAGCGGTAGATTATATGCTTGTTCCTCCTTAAAAGGTCAACGTAGTCTTCGACTGAAGGTGTCCGTGCTTTTACTGTGTCAGACTTGCGGAAGGCGGCTGCGAATGAGCTTAAGCGACTTGAAGTAGCTGGTGTGCCTTTGCTGAGATTGATGAAGTCCGTCAGGAAGCTTTCAGTAGCTGAGACATATTCGCGGAGATCGATATGCTCGTGAACCTCGCGGATAATAGGGTCGAAAGTAGCCACTATGTCCTTGAGAGCTTGTGTAAAGAGGTCTGGAGTCTGTCGGCATAAGATGTTGATGATCTCTTCCAGGTCTCTTGTAATAATCAGTTCTGCGAAATACTGATGACACCGTGAATGCTGGGCTTCTGATAACGCGGACAGGAAGTCCGGATTGGTAAATCCGAGGATTGTCGCAACCATGGAAGTTGAGTTCTCCATACTCAGGTTGCGAATGAATTCGTGCTCTTCTCTCGGTCTTGCAGCATAGCGTTTGAGCGCGTCGAGGCACTCTTGGGGGGGAGAATCACCCCCTGTCTCCTTTTCAATACGTTCGGTAATTTTGCGATGATCAAAGCTGTCCCATGACAGAACTAACCATATGATTCTACACAACCAGTCAGTCATTTTTTTTTTTTACTATTATCGAGTGGTTTTTAGACGGATACCTTTGAAGTAAGTTCATGCCGTCTTTGGCATTCTGCGTTAAGCCGACCCAGTTTGATAGTGCACCCACGCTTACTTTTGCCAGCAGTAGACGCATCATGCCTTGAACCATGGTGGCTGCATTTCCAATGCGTAAGATCTTTTTGATCATGGTGTAGGGGAGTAATTTGTGGACACCCTCAAGCAACCGTATGATGTAAGGTCCATCAGGGGACAGGACCACGACGTGGTGAATCAAGCTTGCCAGACTACGAAATGGTCAACAGTGACTTAGCCTTCGAGAGATACAGGAGACTCACTGAAGGATGATATAGTCGGCAGCCGCATGAACAGCAGGCGAGTGTTCTTCGAGGTTTTCCGTTTCTGTCGCGAAAGCAAACAATTCATCGATGAGATCGCCGTAGAGGAGCTCATGGACAACATCCTCCCATGCCTTTTCCAGGTCCTCGGCCTTTGACCTCTCATAGTGTCCATGGAGATCTCTTCGAGGCCCTTTGGCGACCCCTCCGAGGACCCCTCTTGAAACGACCCCATGGATTGCCGACGCTGCGGTGGCCAAAGTCTTCCTGGTACTCACAGTACATTTGTCGTAGCTTTCAGACAAGCCTACTTCAGCAAACTTCTCCAAGATTCCCTGTAACCTGACATTCCAGAATTCTCCCGGGAGGTCACGAATGCCTGGAATCGTGAGGACTATACTTCGAAATACGCCAGCAAACAATGGTGCCGATGAGTCGGTAGCATGGGAGGCTGTCCAACTAGCCTTAGTGTTGCGAAGGGTAAAGGGATGCCCATAATGGGAAATAGTCTCTGGTTCCCTAAAGCTCCTCACTTCTCTGTAGGTCTCATGGTGGCTGAGTATATCGAAGAGGGCGTGGAGCTGCGATGAGGTTAGAACCTCAGGAACGTGATTGCTCTCGTCATCCATAGAAGGGAGTTGCAGTGGTGACGACAGCCAATGAAAGTGGCGTTTGGTCGATAAGAGGGGGGACTGGCGGTCTTCCAGAGATGGTTTTTAGCCTTTGGGCGGCATGCCGGGGATGAAGAAATCACGCAGGATGGAGTATGCAAGTAATTATACTGTGCATGGAGCTTTCCTCAACAGATCAACAAGGCTGGCGATCAAATTGGACGGTGGTTTTGGAAGCGCCAGCCAAACTCGAGGGGTACAAGCAGCGGACCAGGGTGGGTTGGTCAGCTGGGAGGCTGTGTTGCGCACTAAAGGACAAGCTTCCGGAGGTCAGGGACATCTCCAGGTGTATGTTGGGGAAACTAAGGTCGAAACGAAGGTAAAAAAGAGACCCAAGAATAGTGCTATTGATCTCGTGGCTTAGGACTAGTGCGGAAAAGAAAATACGCATGAGAGATTCCGTCGATGCTCCTCCTGTGTCTCATGCGGGCAGATCGCAAGTCGTCGACACTTGCAAGGGATACAACGCTCAACCCTAACCCTTAACCAAGCGTGCCACGAGGCTTGGTATTATATGCGGGTCCGGGGCCGACTATTCCTGACGATATCAACGGGCTGGGAACCCAGCCTTTCGAGCCTCAGACATCGCGCTGGCCCCCGAGCATCGTTCCGACAGAACTTGAGAGTCTTTCCACAATCGTACGGTGCCACTTTCCTGAAGTTATTACAAGGCTCCGGAGGTGCTGGAAAAGATCGTAGCATAACATGGGAGTGAGCAGCAGCCATTCAGGAGACCCCATTTGCTCACAACCAAGTTCGATACATCTTCATAGTAGCCAGCCCTGACGCGACCTAGGCTCTGAGTGATCGGAAAAGCGGCCGTTGATGCCCATAACCCGAGTCTAAAGTCAGTTTTGGAACCACTGGCGCTATCTCATGCATCAGGACGAGCAGGATCCGTTTACTCGCTTTACTCGCTGGTCTAGGAGCAAGCAAGAAGCGAACTCCTGTCGGCCTGCTCCGAACGTCTTGCATATTAGACTTCAAGTGAAGTTTAACCCAATCAAACTTCGAGCAAAGTCTAAGCCAATAGAACTTAGAGAAGATTATTGGCCGTCTTTCCGCATGCTTGCCAAAATCTCTCCGCTCGTGCCCAGGACGAGCAGATAACACATAAAGAGCCTGGACCTTTCCGAATCCAGGATATGATCCTGGCGGTCATTCTTCCCCAAACCGGTCCCAGATCCTGCTTAGAAGCATACATATTCAAGAGCATTCTGGCAGGCACATCCCAACTTGCAAGACAAGAGTTTCCGTGAAATTTAGCGGCCTTCTATTAGTCTCCGATGATGATCCGTTCTCAACATCCTCTTTTCCCCTAGAAGTCTATCGCTACCCGTTTGTATCATCGTGCATCAATTTATCAAGAATTAATATTATCTACTCTCATGCGACAGTTCCACAATGGTACTTAATCTTCGGTCGCTCGGCTCCCTCCTGCTGGCGGGTGTCGGCTAGCTGCCCATCCGTGCGAGGACCTCGGAGGATGTGGCCACCGGCGAAGTCGTGCATGGTGCTGACTTCGTGCCCGACTTCATCCTCAGAGTCTCTGTTGCTTGGGTAGAGTCATCTTGTGAGGGGCGCCAGAACATCGTCATCAATGGCACATCTCCTGGTCCAGCCATCTACCTTCGTCCAGGGAGCAGTCCCTGGATCAGAGTCTACAATGACATTCCGGATCAGAACTTGACTATGGTAAGCTATCAGTCAACTTCGTCCAAAGGCGTCGTTCACTGACGCATCATTAGCACTGGCATGGCATCGCGCAGAGGCTGGCTCCCTTTGCCGATGGTACTGCGATGATCTCTCAATGGCCCATCCCCCCTGGACATTACTTCGACTACCAGATCGCCCTGGAACCCGATGATGCGGGCACATACTTCTACCACTCCCACGTCGAGATGCAGGCTTTGAGCGCCTCTGGTCCTTTGATCGTTGATGATTGTGCCTCGTTACCGTACCATTATGACGACGAGCGTATCTTCCACTTCATGGATCATTTCAGCAAGTCTGACGAGGAGATTGTTGAGGATCTCACCAGCTCACCATACAATTTCCCCGGAGAATCCAAAGGCGTCTTGCTGAACGGAAAGGGTATTGCCGTTGGATACACTCCCTCGCCTGGCCCTCCGGGAGGGCCCAACGGTTTCTTTGGTCTCCGTGTCGGCAACCATCCTGGTAACGCTGTCAAGAAGCGCTGCGATGGCAGTGGCGAAGGCTAGGAATCCGAAGCCTGTGTGGCTCCCTCGGAGCCCGAGCCCGTGGAGTTTCAGCCCGGCATGGATCAGATTGAGCAGACCAGCGACTGCACTCTGCCCGTCATCGACGTGGAGCCTGGCAAGATGTATCGCTTTCGTTTCATTGGCGCCACCGGTCTGTCGTATATTGCTATTGCCTTCGAAGGCCATGAGACCTTGAGCATCATCCAGACTGATGGCACTGAGTACAATGAGCCCGTGGTGACCGATCACATCCAGCTCGCAGCCGGTCAGCGTTTTGATGTCCTCTTCAAGACGAAGTCACTCGAGGAGCTGCAAAAGGAGGGCCGGAATTTTTACTACATCCAGTATGAGACCCTCCATCGTTCGGACACCTATCGCGGCTACGCAGTGCTCCGCTACGACTACGACGCCGAAGTACCAACTCCTCCTGCTGCTCCAATCCGTGCCTTCTCCGCCGCTGAAGTCACCAGCTGGGGCGAGTATTCGTTCCGTCCTCTCTACCCCGAACGCAACCAAGCCCCGTCGGCTGACGAAGTGACACGGCGCCTGATCATTACCTGTGAAGAAAAGGAGGATTTCAAGACTGGTCGTGTTATCTGGGAGCTAAACCGGCTTTCTTGGACCGAGGAACGCCGTCAGATTCCCGTTCTTGTTGACATCTATAACCGCGGGCAGGACGCTATCCCCAATTACGAGGTCGCACTGCACAACTATGGTTGGGATCCAGTCACCAAGTTGTTCCCCGCCAAGGTTGGTGAAGTCATTGAGATTATCTGGCAGAACACGGGCTCGCAATTCTTTACAATCACCGGCCTTGTAGAAAGCCACCCGTTCCACGCACATGGCCAGCACTACTACGACATCGGCGCCGGCCCCGGCTACTACGACCCTGAGGTCAACAACAAGAAGCTTGAGGAGACCGGTTTCCGGTCCGTCAAGCGCGACACGACCATGCTGTTCCGTTATCAAGACAAGGTGAAGCCCGGCCAGGCCGCGGGTTGGCGTGGCTGGCGCATCCGTATTGATCACCCCGGCGTGTGGATGCTCCACTGCCATATCCTGACACACATGATGATGGGTGAGTTGTCCGGACCATTGAACTTACCTAGACTGTGAGTGGTGTGCTGACAGCAGGTCCAGGCATGAACACAGTCTGGGTTATTGGCGACGCAGACGACATCTTGACCATCCCGTTGTCTATCAGCCAACACTATCTCAAGTACGGCGGCGATGTATACGGCAATATCACGCACGCACCGGTTGTCTACCATTTCTTTAACCAGACGAGCAAGTGCATTGAGTAAGGGATAACTTAGGCCATGGATAAGTCTGCTGCTCAAGGAAAGAGAGTGGCTAGTTTGGAGGCGTCTGTTACATGGATGTTTATGATCCGAAAGATTTTTTATGCTTAGTCCAAATCAGCGGTTAGGGGGGTATCTGTTCCGTTTGGTTTCTTGAACATGGTAATCCGTAAGTTACGTCAAGCGAAAGTCTCTAGGTAAAATGGCTTATAATAAATATAGCGTTGAATTGTTTGATCAATTCCATGCCTTCCGGTACAAAAGCCTGTAGCAACACAATCCATTGTTTTGTTTCGTGAGTTTTGACCGATCCTTGAATTGCTGCTCCCTCTCACATGTCGATGCGAACGGCGGTTGAACGGAGATTCGAGACCCTTGCCAAGATGACCAGAACAAAAATGGCCTCGCGTTCGGGGCCAAAACATGTGGCTCGTGCACGCCAAGTGAGGGCCTTCGGGCGGTGAGAGGCGGCATAACGGCCTCAACGTCACGTTTTCGGCTTAGCGCGGGGAGTCCAACCCCTGTCCAGGCCCCCAATTTTCCCTTCCAACCTCCATTTCCCAGGCAACGGCTGGGAGCAGTGCAGCTTCCCAAGAACACACAGCACTCCACTTCCATCCAGGCCTGGTCGCTGTTTGCTTTCTGCCGCTGGCACTCCCACCTTGTCGCTGTCGACGCGTGCCCAAGCGCCCAACTCGCGACAGGAGCCTATGTATGTGAACGCCCGACGCGCCGTTTCTGTGTATCGTCAGCAACAGCCCAGCCGGGGGGCCATCTTCCCACTTCTCAACTCTCCGTAAATCAGCACCATACAGCATCCTGTGACGTGTCCAGGCGGCCCTCCAACCGACCAAGCGCCGTGCGGTTTTGCTGCTCCAACCCCCCTCCCCTCCCTCACCCTGATCGCGCATCAGCGACTCTACGAAGGTCTGCTTGAACCACGCTCACCTCCGTACCGACCGTAAACCTTGATCTCAATTGCTTGTTTTTGAGCTCGCTATCCCGTCCATCTTATTTCTGTCTGCGCCATTCCCATCCGCATCGCAGACCATGTCGTCGGACTCCGAACAGTCGGCCCAGGTGGCCCGCAGCATCCCTGACGAGGAGCAGCAGGCTGCTCTGGGGGTAGAGGTTGCTTCTGCTTCCTCACAGCGAGACGACATATCCGTCGTTTCCTCATCGCAACAGAGCATCCCCCCCACCGAAGCCCCTAACTCCCCGCTCGACCATCACCCCTCTGCCTTCAAGTCCGAGCCTCAAGAAAACCCCGCTGCAGCTCCTGCCATCGCTGCGCGTGCCGCATCTGTCTTGTCGTCCTCCCAGACCCCGCCGCCGTCTTCTCAGATCGCTGGAATGACCGGACAAGCTGCTCCCGCAAATACTATGACATACCTTAGCTCGCAGCGGGCTGGGATCTTCTCGCCGCCGGCGACCACAGCGCCCAATGGCCTCAAGAGAGAGAGTATTCCTCCCGAATTTGCCGCACCGACCCCGGCTCAGATCGCAGAGGCGTCAGTCGAGGACCTGCGCAGCATGCTGCAGGCCAGCTTGGCCGAGCAGGCTCGGTTGAAGACTGAGGTCGCCCACTATAAGATGGAGGCTGCCCACCACAAGCTGCAGTATAATATGCTCAGCTTGCGGGCTGAGGAGGACAGCAAGCGGGCTGCTGTCGAGCACGAAATCACCAAGAAGGAGGTTCAGGTGCTGCAGAAGGCTGAATATGCCAGGCAGGCTCGCCAGGACCTCATCGCGGCCAACGAGTCGGCACAGGTCAAGTACCTGCAGCTGAAGGTGTTGCATGAGCGGGCTCTGGAGGAGATAGAATTGCTTCAGAAGAAGCTTAAGGCAGCACGGAAGATCCTCAAGCAGAACCAAGACGAGATTGCGAGCCTCATGGACGAACGCGAGATCCTGCTCAACAGGATCCGCGAGAACCGCGAGCACTTTCACATCCTCTGCAGTCCTGGCGGCATGTTCTACAGCGCCGTCAGCAGCTCTCGGGCCCATCAACAGGCGGCTAGTCCGCAACAGCACCGGGCCACTCCCCGGCAGACCCCTAGGTCGGCTGTCCAGCGGGAGACTCACCGGGAGCACCAAAACGGCGAAGGCTTCGCCGTCCTGCTGCAGGCACTCAGCCAGGACAATAATAATAATGTCAACAACGACCCCAGCGTTCCGTCAACGCCGTCGACGTCCCAGAGGCCCGGTGCCGCCCGCGTGGGCAGCAGCGTCAAGCACACACGAAACGTGCAGTCCACGTCCTCACTTCCGAGCACTCCTGTTTCCAAGACCCGGAGTGATGGTCGAGGTGGGCTGCTACCGTCCGTTGATCTCATTCCGCAAACTGAGCCTGCTTACCGCAACGCACGGTTCATCCCCGAGACGCCAGCTACTCCCCGCGGAGGTCGTGAACGCCGCAAGAGCAGGGAGAGCACCATTTCAGCCGAGGATAACCAGGAGCTAGCCCGCCAGGCCCTACAATCCTTCGCCTCTCGTGGTGCAGGCAGTAGCGGAGGCGTTCCACACTCTCATCCTCACCCCCATCACCAACGAGTCGACCAAAGCCCCAACCAACGCCGCCGTGCCTCCATGGCCGACGACGTCGAAGTATACGAAAGCCAAGCAAGCCAAGCTGCATCCGAAATGCTCCGTCGCGATCCTCGCGAGAGCTATGAAGTCGCCCAGTCGCGCGACCCGACGCCCGCCAATACTACCACCTCCTCAGGCGGAGCGATGACAGCCTCCGGCTCCGGGGCGAAGCTCCAGGCGAAACTCTTCGGCGGGCTGAATAAGAGCGGTCTGTCGACTTCGGCTGCGGCGCCGTTGGCTTCGAGCAGTCCGGCAAAGAGGAAGTTGAGTCATGACGCTGGGATAGAAGGAGGGGGTGCGGATGCTAGGGAGAGGGCGCTCATGAGCCCGACTAAGAGGCTTAGGGAGGTTGGTGGGCTTAGGGGGGACCCAATCTCGCATCCGCATTCGGGGGAGAGGAGGGTTGGATTGGGGATTTATGGGCGGGAGTGATGGAATAGAAATTGTGAGGTAGTGTTGGCGGGCATTTTGCGGTGTTTTTTTTTAAAAAATTGCTTTTGCTCTCGTTTTGCTTTGATGGCTAGTATAGGCGTTGGATGGGTGTCTGGGATTAAGCAGGCTTGGGCTTGTGAAAGAGTTCTCAAAAATGAATGATTTTTTTTCCCCGGACTTTGATTAATGGTGCCAGTTGCTAGTTCCATGACCACAAGGCTATGGCTACTTTCGCAATGTGAATGGGCCTTATTTTATCTGAGCCTATGAGAGTGCTACTGTATTGTAGAAGACTTACTACCCTATGACACTAGCATTGCTGATTTCAAGATCATCGCATTCATTTTTGTCAAAATCTATGGTGTTGAACAGCAAACTTGACACTACTCTATTTCCCCATTTCCCCATCTCCCCCACACCAACCCCGATATCGCATTGTGGAGAAAGGACAGAAACCACCAAATCCCACAAATGTTAATGCAACTTCCCAGGATCCGGCTTCGAGTTTCCCATCCTCAAGGACTATTCGAGTGGAGACCACGCGGTGCCGATACCCAATGCCGCTGCACCCTTTCGCCTCCGGATCTGTGATTTTCCCCCGCCCCCACTGCCGACACATGCCGCGTGCCGCATGCCACTCCAATGCCTCCAAGGATCCAGCTCCCAGTGGCCCGGCGGCTTCGTCGGCCGTGAGTTATCCCGAGGGGATGGGCGTGTGCCGGCCGGTGAGGGTGGGCTTTTTTTTTCTTTTGGGTGATTGCTCGAGTTTTCTTCTTTGACTCTTGTTTGTTTCTTTTGAGATTCTTCATTTTGAAGCCATTCGAGATACCCCCTGAGGCGTTGTGGGTGTTTTAATCGAGGGGTTGGCCCTTTTTGTTGTGCACTTGAGATTCGAGCGGGAACCGCATCAACTGCCGAAGTCTACGGTCTACTACGTCCAGCACATACACATACAAAACACCATTCTGCCCTCGACAGGCACGTTACACAAACCCAGCCTACCTTCTAACCACCTCCTCACAACATCATCACAATGAGCGCCCTCCCGAGAGGCATCAAGGCCGTACTGGCCAAGGCCCCGACCGACGTGGTCATCGTGTCCTCTCTCCGCACGCCCATCTGCCGCTCCTACAAGGGCCAGCTGAAGGACGCCTTTCCCGAGGAGCTCCTCTCCGTCGTCCTGCGCGCCACCCTCGACAAGCACCCGCAGCTCGACCCGGCCAAGATCGACGACATCGCCGTCGGCGTCGTGCTCAACGAGCTGGGCGGGTCCAAGGCCGCCCGCATGGCCATAAACCACATCGGCTTCCCCAACTCGACGTCGCTATATACCGCCAACCGCGCATGCGCGTCGTCGTTACAGGCCATTACCCTCGTAGCCGCGCAGATCAAGACCGAGATGATCGACGTCGGCATTGGTGCGGGAATGGAGTCCATGACGCGCAACTACGGCACCCGCGCCATCCCCGTCGACGTCTGGCCTGAGCTGAAGCAGTCGCCTAACCAGGACGCTCTGGACTGCCTTATGCCGATGGGCCTGACGTCGGAGAACGTTGCCGAGCGGTACGGCGTGTCCCGCGCGGACCAAGACGCTTTTGCGGTCGAGTCCCATAAGCGGGCTGCCCGCGCCCGCGACAACGGTTGGTTCGACACCGAGATCGTCCCCGTCACGACCCGCTTTCAGGAGGTTGACAAGGAGGGCAAGCCCGTCGGCGACCCCAAGACCATCACTGTCACCGCTGACGACGGTATTCGGGCCAATGCTTCTCTGGAATCCCTCGCCAAGCTCAAACCCGCCTTCAAGCCCACAGGCGCAAGCACAGCCGGTAACTCGAGCCAAGTCTCCGACGGCGCAGCCGCCACTTTGCTCATGCGCCGCAGCACGGCGGCGCAACTCGGCCTAACAGATAGCATCATCGGCAAGTTTGTCGGTTCTGCGGTAGTCGGCTGCAAGCCTGACGAGATGGGCATCGGACCTGCCCTCGCGATCCCCAAGGTGCTGAACCAGTTCGGGTTGAGCACGAATGACGTGCAGCGGTGGGAGATCAACGAGGCGTTTGCTAGCCAAGCGATCTACTGCGTGCGGGAGCTGGGGCTGGAGAAGGCGTGGGAGGAGGGCAAGGTGAATCCGGATGGTGGTGCGATTGCGCTGGGACACCCGCTGGGTGCGACGGGTGCCAGGATGGTGGCTACGCTGATGCATGGGCTGGGGAGGACGGGGGGTGAGGTTGGTGTTGTGAGCATGTGCATTGGTACGGGGATGGGTATGGCTGGTGTCTTTGTTAGGGAGTAAGGGATGTGTAGGATTGAGTGTCGATCGATTTCGGTTTCTTATGTAAATATTTGGTCAGAGATGGTAGGAATGGGTATGGGTTTCCTGTCTACCTAAGTCGTTATGGCGAGTTGGATGATTCGTGATCTGCATGTATAGACGTCATCGAATGAGGGGCACTCACATCGACGACGCCGTACGACATCTCCGAGATGGTCATTCTGTGTGGCACTCCGATGATTGATCCGGAGATGCCGAGAGTTCCTCATCCTCCGAGACTCAGACACCCATCCCACATCTGAAGCAGTCGTATGACGACAGGAGAGTCATTGTACAGTGGGTAAATTGGTCGTATTGACGGTCACTACCGATCACTAAGGCAAACTTTGCAATTTACCACAGTGGTCGTCGGTCGTCCTTGTTCCCGCAAGACTTCCCAGGGAACCATGCACAGATTCATGCTTCCTTGGTTTCCTTTCCACCCTCTCGAAGACCCGAGTATCAATGAGTGAACCATTACATGTACGACGAAAAAAAAAAGCAGCGAAAATTCCTCCCACGCCAGATGTGATGATACTCATACCATAAAAAACGCCGCCGCCGTTTCCGAAATGGTTGTTCATGATACCTCCCGCCCAGTTCCAGTCCGTTCTTGTGAATAGAATACAACACCGTAAAAGGGAAACCCAGTAAAACAATTACGAGGGAAAAAAAAAATTCTGATATGTGCTGTTGTAATTCGTGAACTTGCAAGGGCTTGACCGACCTCATTAATAGAGGAAGAAATTCAGCTCATAGCTGCTCAGCGGACGATTGGTTTTGCATTCGCACGTCGAACAGAAAAGAGTGAAACTTGTCGAGTCGAAATGAACTGCCGGTAGGTAGATGAGAGTTTACTCCCTCCAACATGAATCATCTTGCTTTCTCAAGGCCGCACGATGCCCAAAGAGTCGCGCATCGTTGGCTTTGTCGGTCGAGTCAAAGCCGTGCAAGTTTCTTCGAGTCACAGAGCACACAGACTCTCGGGGGTTGACTTAGATGCAGTCGGTGCACTGCTTATGGCGGCAGAACGCGCAGCTGGTGCTGATGACCAGCATGGCACCGCAGTGGCAGCAGCGAGGCTGGTAGGCCGGCATTCTGGTTGATGAGTGTCTTTACTTGTGATGGCTGTTGGAAGCAGGTTGTAGCAGTGAGAGTGGAGGTCGTCGACTTCGCGACGGGCTTGTTGTTACGCGGGGTAGTGTGGAAGAAGAGCGATGGGAGAAAGGTTGCAGTGGTCCTCTCTGGAATGATGGGTTGTGTGGACAAAGAGGAAGGGTCGGTGGACAGCTTGATTCTACGCACTGGCAAACTGTGGGAAGAGAAACAAAAAAAAAAACCGGCAGGAGCTGGGAATGAAGGGACTTTATAGGCCCATCGAAGTGCAACACATTACACGATGCCATTTACATCTTGGCTGTCGGTCACTCTGCACAACCCGCTCGCACTTGCACCTACACAGCAGTATGCACTCATGTCGGGCGTCAGTGGCGACGTCTGATCTCGAGCTCAGACATGGGTCTTAGACGACGAAACCGATGCTTTTTCGTCTTGTCATCCTCTCCCAGCGCCCCTTCACAAAAGGCGATTCGCCAATCTCTCTCCATCTCGTCCCGATCGCGCGGGATGAGATGTGTGAGAGGTCCGAGTCAGTTTGACCTAGTAAGACCAGATGAAGGCCAGAGCTTCGCACAGTGTCACACAAGCAAGCTTGTGAGCTGGGCGCACGGTTGCCCCTTTCCTATCGCGCGTCATCCATTGGCTGAAACTTCAAGATGCCCTTGACGTCTCCAATGAGAGCGTTTCTCGTGAGGTTTACGCATTTGCTAAGATTTGCCTTCTGGCGCGGGCAGCACATTCCCGGTATGAGTACCCGCATGACTGCTCCTGGCACTTCACGTGGTGCTTTCACGGTTGGGAGGTCTGTCGCGCAGTAAAATGTGGGGGTCACACTGGAATCTTCCGGGGAAAAAGTGGGGAGATGGGGCAGCGGTGGGTCTATGATCGGTTGCTTGCAGCACCACTGGAGGTCCCTGCAGCCCGTTGGACGTTGGCCTTTTCGCGGACATGGCGTTCGAGGGCAGCCCGCGAACGCATTCTTCGAAAACGGAAAGAGCCTTGTCCTCCGCCTAAGCCGAGAGGGAGCGGCTCGCAATTTAAAATCTTGCACCTTATATCCGATGGCTTCGGATCGCGGGCAAGCACCGTCTAGCTTGTTGATCGCGCGATGCCTCTGTCCCCGAGACTTGGATGCCTCCAGGTCTGCCTGCCATCCTTTAGACCCTCTTTTCCTCTGCCGTTAGGTCCTTCCGGGCGGACAAGGTTGTCTGCTGTTAGCCATGGAGCCGATGAAAGGGCTCATCAAGGCGAAAGATCCTATCAAGACCCCCGTCCGAGAGGCATCCTGCGAGCTCTGTACGCCCATTCCAAGGCTGCATAGCGATGCGCCTTTTTCTTGACATGGTCGTGATCTTGGGTCTTCCGCGGCGATGAAGCGGTCTGAGTCGTGGCGTTCATCGGAGATCAGACCAAGAGAGAAAATGGCATGGAGGTTGTATATGGCGGAGAAAGGATTAACATATCAGCCGTAGGGTAGGTTTGACTTCATCGCAGGAAGATGGTTTTGACTCCGGTTTTTGAGCCAGATCCTCAGCCCTATGCAGAGCCTCGTGGATAATAATAGTAACTACGCTGCGGATGCAGAAGGATCCAACGCATTGGATCGACCTCATCCACCTCAACTGGCAGTCTCTGCGCAGCCCTTAGGCTTTTGACGTTGGTTCATCAAGACCTCCTAGATTGACGTCTGGCTGAGGGTCTTGTCCCCCATCTTACTGGTCGCATCTGCGTCGTACCGACGAGGCTGTGTGCCGAGCTAAACTTTGCTCGAGCGGCTGCCAGTAACGGCCGAGACAAGCCACTCGGCATCTGATTGGTCAGCATGTCGCAGAGAATGCCTTTGAAAACGCCTGGTTCGAGCAACTCCGACGGCGATCCTAAGGGTCGCTGAGGTGATCTCACAAGACAGTTCGTAGCCTGTCTGCTTACCCCTAAATGAGAGAGACCAAGGTCTTCGGGGAGGCAAAGAACCATATACACATCGTCATGGGTGTCGTGACTATTTTACTCAATTGATTGGCAACGCACCCTTGGACAAATCTTCGCATCGCCGCAGGTTAAGGGACTCAGGGGTGCGCCTGATCAGTAATTGCTAATCACTTATACGCCCTATAAGTCACCTGTTGTGCCAATTTGTTCATATACACCAGAATCCTCATCGTCATGGCCTACTTCAAGATCAAGTTTCCATGGTTTAAGTCTTCTAGAACTAAGGAACAAAGCAACAGCGACTCTTCTAAGCATCAGCATCAGAAAGACACCAGTTCCTTTAAAGAATTTAACGAAAAACACTCAGAAATGGTCCTCGGCTTCGGCAGCAAGAAACCCAAGAATCTTCCTCCTGAGACACTTCCTGAACGTCCAAAGGAGAACATCTCGGTCCAAATCCATCCTCTTCCGACCGAAGATGGATTGATCGTAAAGATCCAGCCGCCCAAAGAGCCGGCTGCTGGCAGTACTCCATCTGCTGCAACACCCTGCGACTTGGTTTTGTGTATCGATGTGTCAGGCAGCATGTACGACGAAGCTCCTGCCCCGGCTACACAAACTGGGATCGTAGAAGACCTGGGCTTGTCGATTTTGGACTTGGTCAAGCATGCTTCCAGGACCATTATCGAAACGCTCGATGGAAAGGATCGATTGGGCATCGTGACATTTGCTTCTCAGAGCAAGGTATGAGCACTCTTTCTCAACGTTAATGTTACGGATATGATTTATACCGTCAAATTCTGCAGGTTCTCCAACCCCTTACACACATGACGCCGGAGAACAAGAGTGCCACGCTCAAGAAGATCAAGGAGATGGTCCCACTAGACATGACGAACCTGTGGCATGGGCTTCGCGACAGTCTCAACCTGTTCAGGGATGAAGAGGGAAAGCCGAAACACAGCGGTAGGTTGCCAGTGGTTCTTGTCCTCACCGACGGTCAACCGAACCACATGTGTCCTCCTCAGGGGTACATCCCGAAGCTGCAATCTATGGGAGCTCTCCCCGCAACTATCCATACGTTTGGGTTTGGTTATTACCTTCGATCTGGGCTGTTGAAGTCCCTGGCCGAATTTGGTGGCGGTAACTACTCTTTTATTCCCGATGCGGGCATGATTGTAAGCACCATCCCCCATGAATAACTGTAAATTTTTGATCTTTTCTCTCCCGTCGCACGTAGTATTAACAGCGAAAAGGGCACCGCATTCATCCACGCCGTAGCCAATCTCCAATCAACCGTCGCCAACAACGCCAAGTTGCATATAACCTACCCAACCTATTTGCAACTGGAGGAGACGACGGGCGAAGCAGTCGACAAGCAGCCGCCGGTTACACTCGGCGGTGACGTCCCCGATTGCTTGTCTCAGCTGACCATCAGCCTGGGCAACATCCAGTACGGCCAATCGAAAGATATCTACCTGCGCTACGGCGGCGAAGCCCAGGGCGCAGCCTTACTGCACAAGCATGCTGAGGCGACCGGCCAGGCTCCCATTGTGACCGTAGAGCTGCAGTGGCAGCAGTTCACTTCGACCATCTTCTCGGAGTCTACGCAGAAAAACATTCTAGAAAAACACACCTTGTCGCTGGAGCCGAACGAGATCGCTTACCATATATCCCGGTCGGCGCTCATCAGCTTCCTCGGGTCTCTGTTCCCGCTCAATGCCGAGCTGGAGCATAATCCCTTAGGGTTTTCGCTCGAAGGAGCCGACGATCAGGCCCAGAAGGTCCGCGATATCGCGGCTTTCCTGCGCAAGACCGCCGTCTATCCCCCTACCAAGAGCATAGACAACACCTCAGATTCAACTGAATTGACCCTTAGCCCCCTCTGCAAACCCCTCTTCCTCGACCTTCTCGGTCCCATCCCTGCCCCTGAGCAAACTCAATCCCCCATTTCGCTAGACGACTTCATCTCCGGCCCCTCGTCGTCCTGGACCGGCCAGATAGCCCTGGCCATCACCCGCAAAGAGTACCACTCCCGCTGGGGCATCCATTACCTCCCATCTCTTGCGAGTGCCTACGCGCGACAGGTGTGCAACACATTCAAGGACTTTGGCCCCCAAGCCTTTGGCAGCGAGAGCCCCCTGTTCAAGGCGTGTCGGGATAGGTTGGGTCAGATCTTTGACTCGCTCCCGCCGCCGGAAGGTAGCAGGCCGCGGACGGCAGATCCCGACGGTATCACGAGCGGGATTGCGAGTATGAGCATTTATAACAATCCTTGTGCTGGGTGCTTTGCAGGGCTGGCGAGGGTGGCGGTTGTGGTGCGTCCGGCGGGAGGGAAGTGTCGTGGTAATGAGGTTGGTGTCGAATGGGAGAGGAAATGGGTTAGGATTGGGAGGTTGAGGGCTGGTATGTGGGTGTTGACTCCTAGGGGGCCTAGGAGGGTGGTTGCTGTGGTGAGGTTCCAGTTGAGAAGGGAGATTATGTGTTTGGTTGGGGGATCGAAGGGTCAGGGTGGAAGTAGTCTCAGTGGGTTGATGATTACACCGTGGCATCCCATCATGGTGAGACGTGGTGATGGGTATCGGTGGGTGTTCCCTAAGGATGTCTCAACCAGGCCGGTCAGATACACAGGGCCTGTGTGCTCGGTGCTGTTGGAAAGGGATTCGGATCCAAATGCTCATGCCATCCTGGTTGACGGCGTTTGGGGCGTGACTCTGGGCCATGGCCTGAAGAAGGGGGATAAGAGGATGGACGTGCGGATACATGAGTTCTTCGGTGACTACGACAAGGTGCAGAGGGCGTTGTCGAGGCTGTCTAGGAAGGGCAGCGGCGTGGTACCTGCGGGGGGGGTTTCCCGTAATCCTCGAACGGGCTTGATCAATGGGTTTGTGGGAGAACAAATTGATATGAGGAAAATGGATTCTTTGAGACTAAGGAAAGGGTCTACCACGAGTTGATATTGGATTTGGATATCTTGGTTAGGATAATTGGTTGTTCATTATCGGTTTCTGCGAGGTTGTTAAAGACATTGAGGCTTAGAACTTTGGAACTGTAAGACTGTCTCTGAGGTGAGGTTGCACCAGAGGCATCTGGAATGCCAATAATGTGAGTAATTGACTGAACAGAAGACGAGATCGATGATATGTGTGCTCAAGTGTTGTTCAATGGTTGTTCCTGAGACATGACCAATCAAAAAGTCCGATGCTGATTGTGGACCCCGTCTTTTGAAGATGATTGAGAAGAGGGCTTGTTGTGTCGATGAGATCACTTCCAAAATACGGGTCAGGTACAGAACAATTTTTGCATCAAAATGAGGTTTGACATAAAAGGGCCTAAGACTTGTAATCAGTCCCGATAATGTGAGACCCAGCCGTCGATACACGTGCTCAAGTAGCTGGGCTCCTAGCGAGATGAATTTGCCAAGCGCATCAGAGACCTTTGGTGTTCCTGACATCCTTAAGGTACAGTGTGTGCAGTCCGACAGCGGGAACGACAGCTGCCGCCAACTGGCTAGTTCCAAGAACCCTGCAGGGTTCTTGGACCCCACCATACTGACAGTGACGAATCAGCGTTCCCCACTGCCCTCATAGGGTTTCCAAGCCCTGCCAAAAATTTGGCGCGAGCTCCTCCTGCCGAGCGACCTCCAAATTGCTTCCGCTTCACGACCGGTGATTCTTTTCGACAACCAGAGGGACCAGAGGGGCTTGATCCACAACCGGCACAATGGTGAGTCGCACATTGCTCGAAACGCTGGCGATGCGATTGTTGCTGTTGTAAAGGCGTTGATTCTGACAAGATTTCGGAATACAGGCGATCAAGCATAACCAGCAGATTCCGAACAACCGTGAGCAGCGCCCCTCCGACGAAGAAGAGCGATGAGCCCAAAAGACAACGCAGCAGGACTGACTCGACGTTTTCAGACTTCCGCAAGCACTGGCAGCGGCGTGTGCGGTGCCACTTCGACCAGGTCGGTAACTCCGCAAAAACGGCAGCAAGCCGATGAGATTGGGACACATTTTCTGACGTGAGGAAATCGAAAACAGCCCGGCAAGAAGGTCACCCGCCGTCTGGCTCGTCGTGCGAAGGCTGCTGCCCTCGCCCCCCGCCCTGTCGACAAGCTCCGCCCGATTGTCCGCTGCCCGTTAGTCAGCCCCGATTTTTTTTTTTTTTAGATTGAGACGGAGAAGAGGAGTCTAATTGCAGTGTAGCACCGTCAAGTACAACCGCCGGACACGTCTGGGCCGCGGCTTCACTCTTGAGGAGCTGAAGGTACGATATTGTTTTCCGCGGCTCTTGGAGCCTGTTATCTCGAAGGAAAGGCCAGTTCTGACCAGTTTCATAGGCTGCTGGCATTCCCCGTCTCCTTGCCCCCACCATCGGCATTGCTGTCGACCACCGCCGCAAGAACCTCTCTGAGGAGAGCCTCGCTGCCAATGTCCAGCGCCTGAAGGACTACAAGGCCCGCCTCATCCTCTTCCCCCGCAAGTCCAACAAGCCCAAGAAGGCCGATACCCCCAAGGACCAGCAGACCGCCGAGACCACTACCAGCCTGCGCACTTCCTTCGGCGTCGAGCAGCCCCTTGCCCCCGGCTTCACCGAGATCTCCAAGAGCGAGATCCCCGCCGGTATCGAGGGCGGTGCCTACCGCGCTTTGCGGAAGGCGCGGTCGGACGCCCGTCTGGTTGGTGTCCGGGAGAAGCGTGCGAAGGAGAAGGCCGAGGCCGAGGCCAACAAGAAATAAACGGTTTAGTTGGGTCGTCGGGTTGGTGGCGTCGGATCGGTGCGGGTGTTCGTTTGGCTGGTCTGGTCTGGTCTGCTTTCTGCTTTTCCTGGTTGCCTGGGCGAGGAACATGGTTTTCACCTATGGCCGTGTAGTATTCAGGGATTCCCACTCAGAACAGGGCTCAGAACGATTACACGCATCATAGGAATGTGCCGCTAGAGCATTCGCAGATGAATGGACAGGAAAAGGCATGACTGATGGCCACACCGAATTGAGGCGTTGAGGGTAATAATTATGGGTTTATGATTGCATCAAACTGCTGCATTCCAGCTACTGCTGTGCATGCTACGGGGAACATGCATGTCTCTAGAACTAACTCTGTTCTTGGCGATCCTTGACGACAAACTCGCCACCCTTGGTCAGGAGCGTCTCGATCGTCTTTCTGAGAAGGGCCAATTCCTCAGTGAATCTTCTAAACAGCTCCGCCAGCAATACCAACCCGTTCTCCCGGTTCATCCTGACCGCATGTGCCGGCTGCTCTTTCTGAGCCTGCATGTCGATCTGCTGTGGTGAGAGTGACAGCCCATCCATGCCAACCTGAATGACTGACACATCGCCGTCCTTCTCCTCCCTCTTACTATCCTCACCTCGATCTTCACTACCCTGAGCACTCGTATCCCCAAACAAAAACAACCCCTCCAACTTCTTAGCCTCGTCTGCTCCGAGAATAACCTCCGCCAAAGCCAGCCAGCATGTCTTCGCTTCAGCCTTCTCCTTCTCCTGCTTCTTCTTTGCCTTCTCATCCATTTCCACACCCTCCCGCGGCTCACTCGGTGGCAAGAACACCCTCAACGCAACCTTCGCCCCCTCTTCCGAGGATCGGGTCATGAGTGCCAATGTGAAAATCACATCTGCCCTGAGAGCAGGGAAACGTGTTTGCATCAGCGGGTGACGTAGAGCATTTACGATGTGAGCACTATGAGTAGTGTAGAACGCTGCAAGCGGGGATGGCGCGTCTGACGCCCCCCAGTTCCAAGAGGGGTTGAGGACTGGAGAAGTAGTGTTTGTGTTGGGAGAGTGCAGAGCCCGACAAACCGTCGCCACGGCGCGAGACACTTCATGTTTAATTGGGTCTGCGTCGGCCGAGGTTGAGGCGCTAACCAACAAGGCAAGGGTGCTGGGTCCGTTGTTGTTATTGGCCTCTAACGGGGTGCAGAGGAGAGTGACGTTAGAAGGGCAGTTGACCAGCAGCAGGCGAGTGAGTGAGACGGCGGCGAATTGGAGTTGGGGCTGGGTGCGCGTTGAGGACCACAGACGGGGCAAGATTGGATGGACAGGATCGAGGAGGGCTGCGCCGAGCGAAGGTTTGTTGGCTGCCGGGATGGCGAGGTTCTTGGCGAAGTTGAGCGCTGCGTGGGTAAGTTGGATGGGGGACCAGCCGGTGGGCTTGCTAATATCAGTTGGGGATTGGGACGAGGGGATCATGCGGATAAGGATGCCGACCAGAGAGGATTGAACTTTGGGCAGAAGAGCGATGCTCGACTCGTCTGAGCGTGAGAGGTTGCCTAGGACTAGGCATGCTGCTGCTTGGAGGTAGGGAGGTTGAGAGGATTCTAGCCAACTTGCAAGTGTCCTGCCAGGCTGGCTGTCCAATGAGCAGGCGGTTGAGAAATCTGGAAGGGCAGAGAGGTCGGCAAAGACGGTTAGGAAGGCCTCGCCAATTTGTTTGAGTTGGGCAGCGGTGTCTTCGTCAATATCGGAGGTGTCGAAACGGGTGTAAAGCTGGGTGAAGGCTTCTTCAATGAGGATAAGGTTTTGAGAGGAGAGGAAATGGGTTTGGAAGTGCGAGCTGGTGAGATAGGCGAGGGCGGGAGAGCAGATTTCCATGAAGGAGTCCAGGTCGGCGTCGTATCTGTCGCTAGTGGCGAGTTTGAGGAGTTGAGAGGGTGTGTCGGGATAGGCCTTTGAGGGTTCGTGGTCTGGATTGAGGTTAGCCCCTGATATGTGATTGTCTTAAGGCGCTTGGACATACCTTGGTTGCTGAGCAACTCCAAGACCGTCATGATATGCGATAATGAAGGCAAGGGGCCCTCCAGACACCATTCCAGGCGGTCGCCAGATACTATGTCTACCAGAGCCTTGCTCAACCCATATGCCGACATTTGTGACTGAGCCGGGACTGAAAGACGTTATTACATATTCCTGATATAGTCGATACTGGTAAGCTTACGATAGTCGAGGCAATAGTTCAGCGCAGCAATACACGCGAACGGCATCAACGACTCCTCCTTCAGGCACCTGAGAATAAAGGCAGGTAGCTTGCCTGTCTTCTCAATGATGGCACGGTTTGGCTCTGAGTGTCTATTAGTCGTGGTGAACTTTTTGGGGGGAGAGAGGGGGGGGGGAAGTTATAATAGCATGATCACGAGTTATACATACCATTGTCGGCACAACCATTGCCAAGGAAACGGAGGACTTGCTTGTTCAAGGGGTGATCAGGCGCCAAGGGGCCATCGGCTGAAACGACGTCAAGGACGAAGTTAATCAGTCCGGATTCTCCAAGAGCTGACCTCCATGACTCTGAAATAGCAGAAATTAGCCATGTAGCTCCAGGTTAAGTGAGCAGGGGCGGCCATACGGTCTCTTGCAGCGTTGGCGAGCAGCTCGATGATGGAAGCTTGGCCATCTGCAGTGCCTTGTTGGACCGTTTGGAGCACATTTTTGAGCTGATCTGTCCTCCATGACTTCTCATCTTCGCCCTCAGGAACGCTGATCCGGCCATTCAGGAGGTCTGAAATTTTGTCCTTAGTCCACGCCATGGCAGATGTTGTTCATCTGGGTTCTAAATCAACGCTTCAGTCAGCCAACTTCCAACCCAAACATTTGGCAATAAAGAAGAGGGAGTTATTTGTGCGCTCTCCTACTGGGAAACAGAACTTTATGGCAATTCTAATGTTATACAGAAACTCAATATTGGTCTTCACACGAGCCAGAACAGCGAAGTAAGATGTGTACGGCAGGCTTGTGTGAAGGAAGTTCATGGGATGAAGCTGCAGTTGAGTTTGAGTTGCTCAAGCAACAGACCCTTGACCCCGCACTCATAGCCAACCCTGAGTCACATGAACCAAGCCCACAGTTAACCCTGAAATTGAAGAGCCCAACGGACATCAACTCCTGCACATCTAAGTGATCACAATCATCATATACACAGAACAGCGCAGTCAAGTCTACATTATACATGGTACACAGGGTATACACGTCCCAGAACATTGCATCAATGCCCACAGAACAATTTTTACCGACCCATACCATTGTTCTTGCCGGTAATCCATCTCTGCTCGACAGGACCCTCGAGATGCTCGTGGCCGATAATGGGCAGTTCGCGCTTCTTGAGCTCCCGCACGATGACCTTCCAGCGACCCACCATCTGTTCCTCGTCGATAGGGGTGACTCTTCTGGGGAAAACCTTGACGTTAGGTAGCTCGTTGAAGACGCCCTTCTGCTGGACGACTTCGAAGAGTTTCTTGGCCTTAGGCGGGTCGACGAGGTGCCTGAGTAGGGCCTCAATGGTCTTGTAGCCGTGCAACTTGCCATCGGGGATGCGGTGGCCTGTCAGCTGTTGGATGCGCTTGGCGGCCTGTGGGAATCATAATCAGCAGACTGGTTTATCAGAGGCCTGAGATGGTCGATACTCACATAGAACTTGACGACGGGATCCCGCAGCTCCGCCTTCTTCCACTCCTTGCCCCAAGACTCAACCATCTTCTTCGCTGTGCTCGCCCTGAACTTGGGCGTCCACACAACCTCTGTCCGTGGCACCTCAGTGCCCTCCTTCTCAGCCTTGATGGCCTTCGCCACAGCGTCCTTCATCACATCCCGCACGCTGTGCTCGTCCCGGAAATCTTTAATCTTCACAGCTCCATCCTCGCCCGCAACAAGCTCAATCTCCATCATCTTCAGCAGCCAGTCGTTGCCGCCAAAGACGTTGAACACCCTCCTCAGCACCTCCTGGTCGCGCTTATCGTTGCTGCCGTGGAAGTACTTGGCCAGCACAATGGCCTCGATGATTGCTCGCTTCGTGATCGCCTCGAGGTAGGCAGGGTCCGTCATACGCTGGACGGGGCCAAACCGAGGCGCAGCGACAGCAACAGCGCGCGCGGGACCCTCAGGGCCACCCCAATGCATCGGGTCATCCCACCACTTGTCCAGGCCACCGATCTCAACCAACCCGTCGGCCGTCTCTGCCGGTGTGTAGGTGGCGTCGGTGATCTTCTCAGAGATCGGGGCGCTGCGAATGCGGCCGGGGATGACAAGGTCGGTCTGGATCTGAGGCCGAGAGGGATACTCGACATACTCCTCTTCTTGAGCGGCTGCCTGCTCCTGCTGATGCTCGGGGCGGGCAGGCGTCGTGCTGAGGTACCTGCGGGCGGTCTGGGAATGCAATGGGCAAGAGCAGGAGGGGGAATGGTTCGTCGAGGAGAGGAGGGTAGAAATCGTCGCCGGGGTGGCTGCGGCGGGAGTGATGGCGGGGATGCGGAGGGTAGCAGAGGCGGCCGTGGATGACTGGCACACGATGGCCGCCGCGGCGGGGGACCGTAACCTAGGAATACAGCGCATATTGTGCGGGTGGTTACAATTGGCGACTGGACGGGCGGTAGTTACGTCGTCGTCCCCGCGATCGTGATATCGGCGCCCGGCGAATGTCGCAAGCTCCAGCCAAAATTTCCATCCGGCCTGGGGCCTGAGGCAGATGGACGAGTGGGTCTCGTTTTGCCTTGGGTCTTGGCAACCCCACGCAAAGCCATTGTGCTCGCCACAACGTTGTTGATGTCAGCCACAGTTCAGCCACATAATGTGGGGTCCTGAGCTTGGGCGTGGTGAGCTCGGGTCAAAAAACCTTTGCTTGGCATTGGCTGATCTGAGAGTGATGACCCGAGCTGCAGCGGAAAAGGCTCGGAAGCTCTCCCAAGTCCCAAGTCGAGATTTGCAACTCGACGGCAGCATCCATTGACAACAGCCTCTCGGCCGGGAACTGCGCCCTGGCATTCTGCATCAATTGGGGTAGTCCCCCATCTCACTAGACCGACCAAACCCCAGCCCAGTTCGCAACAATGGCGCCCCCGCAGCAGCCGCCCTCGTCATCGTCGTCGACCCCGCGCAGCGTCTCAGACGCTACCCGCTTCACGGCCACCACCCCCCATGCTTCCTCCAAGGGCGCTGTCCCGGGGGCTTCCCGCTTCGCTCCCCCTCGCACATCACCCGCCGCTGCTCCTTCTGCTGCCTCTGCCTCAGCTGCCGCCGCCGCCGCCGCCGCCCCTCCTCCCTTCAACGAAACGCCAGAGCAGAAGGTAGCCCGTTTACGCGCAGCCCACCTCCGGGCCCGGCAGGCCCAGGTGTCCAAGGTCGACAGAATAATCGACATGGGCAGACGCATGTTCGACACGGCCCACCGCGTCACCGTCTATAGCTTGGTCGGCTTCACAGGTGAGTGAGTTGGGCGGGCACTTCTAGCTCTGGTTTCTGGTTCCCTCCTGTGTGAGGTGAGAGGTCTGGGCGCTGACGACGTGCTTGCGTCAGTGATCGCCGGTATCGCAACGGCCTACACGGCTTATGACATGATCACCTACAACAAGAAGCGGCAGCGCGAGTGGGTCGAGGCCCAGATGAAAATCGAGGCCGAGGAGCTGGCCGCCGCCCGTCTCGCCTACATCAAGGGCACCGCCACCGAGGACCAGATCAAACTCGTCGAGGAGGAAATGGAGAAGGAGCGCAAGCGCGGCGAGCGCTTCTCCTTCTTCAACCTGCCCAAAGTCCTGGACACCGCCGAGAAGGACGCCTCTAAATCAACACAAACCGCCGCTGCGGCAGCATCATCAGCAGCGACACAAAAAGTCGGCACCGGTGGCGTCAAGCCAACCGTTACGGAGACCGTCTCCTGGCCTCTTTCCAAGACCCAAACACAATCCCAGCCAACCAACTCTGCTTCACCCGAACAAGAAAGCAAGGGCCTCTGGGCCTGGCTCACCTCAAACCTTAAGAAAGAAGAGGAAGGCGACGACTCGCCGGCACAGCGCCGACTGGGCTGGGAGTCGCTGAGCGAGGAGGACAGCAACATGGGTGTGCGCGACAGCGATATTGCCCGCGCCGTTGAAGAGAAGCGGGCGTTCGCGCAGGCTAAGGCCCTGGAGGCGGCACAGGCGAAGAAGGCGGCGGATGAAGCGGCGGCGGCTGCCGCTGCTGCTGCGGAGGGAGGGAAAAAGGAGGGGAAGAGGGGGTGGTTTTGGTAAAGACTTCAGGGGTTGGGGCTAAGTTGTCGCCGGGCTCGTTGGCTTGAGGCTAGAAGCGTAGCTACAGGGCTACCATCTACGACCTAGCCAGCATCCCTCAAGGCCACACAGGGCTGGGATAAGCAAGGTTTGATAAAGTCCCGGCTTGGTGTGATGACAGATGTTGCATCATCAATAGTCCAGGAGGGGGAAACCAACTACACAACCCATCTCCAAAGTGATCAGTTGTGTTTTGCCATGTACTGTAAAACAAACTTTGATGAGGGTATGGGAGATAAAGGGGCAGCGGTCGGGCAGAGGTGGGTAAAGATTAGGGGGTTGTCAGCTGTACCATATACAACTTGCCATGAGGGACCCTGGAGAAAAGGGGGATTGTACGGCACTGGAATCTAACTGTGCACTGTATATACTAGTTATTTATGACAATATATGTTCTTGTACATGCCCCTTGCTGCCCCATCGTGATGCTCGAGGGAGCAAAGGGTCTCCGAGCTTGATTCTAGGAACGTGTCAGTCACCAACACTCTCGTTCCAAATCCACTTCTCACAAACAGACGGATGCTCCGATATGCGATGAAACGTAGTATTACTTATGACGCTATTCGCTTACACTCATCATCAACATGACGGTTCGCATAACATGGAAGAAGCCACACCATGTTCCCTACAACCCAAGCATGCCAGCATCTCCTGCGCCCACCCCAGTGCGCCAACCGCACGTACCAGCAAGTATACACGACGCTGACTGACAACGCTATTGTCGCAGTGATGTTAGCTTTTCATGTTCCCACTTGTTTTTCGTCCATCGAAGTCAGTAGCTCCTTGCTACCTTCGTCCCTTCTTGTTACTGACTTTCCCAATCATGCTACCCGAAATCAAATATGCTTCCCGTCAAGAAAAGAAACCCATCACAAGAGACCATCCCATCACCCATTCTCGTGAAACAGTAGCCCATGATTCCCCATTCCTATCAATTCCATTTCGCCCATATGTCCCAATCAGAATTAATCCACCCTCATCATAACCCTCACTCCCCTCCTCTTCTTGAGGGGACACCCTTCCTCTCCAATCATTCCCCTCCCCACAACCGTAACCCCCATCTGATGGTGCACCGGTCCCAGCAACATCCAATCCTCCGACCCCTGGACAACACTCCTCCTCCTTCCATCGCCCCCATCCTAGGAGATAATGATGTGGTTGAAGTGCCCCGGCACTTTGGCCCGACACTTCTCGCAGTCCGCCCGGTACCCTATGCTGAACGTCCGCTTCATGCCGGGCTGCGGGGCCGTCCACGCGCTGAGAGTATGCTTGGAGCGTGTGTGGCCCTTTTTCATGCCGCCTGGTGTTAACGAAGAAGATGATTGTGTTGCTGAGGGGGAAGATAGCGTTGGTGTGGTTGGTGTTGGGGTCGTCGGTGCCGTCGTGGCCGTTGCGGCGGAGCCTTCGACGTCCATGCCGTTGGCGTTCGGGTTGTTGTTTTCGGAGAGCATGCCTTCGTGTGGTCGGCGGGCTTCCATGGCGGAGCTAGCGCGTGGGGGGAGGCTCGCGATTAAGGGATGGTCGTGGGTTAGATGGTCTAAGCTACTACCGCCGCTGGCTCGTGAGGGTTGTTGCTGGTCCAGCGGCATCTGTGGACTGGGCAAACAGTCCTCGGCGCCGCTTTCACTAATCGGTGAGGGGAGTCGGCGGTTCTCTTGGACCATGTTCCAGTCGGCCATGACCTGTCGCATTGTGGCCGCGTTGCCAAACGGCCCCACATCATTGGCAAACATGGCGGGGTTGGGTTCCTCAGGCGTTGTTGCCAGGGCGTCTCCGTGGCTAGCCATTACCCCGAATACTCCGTTGCGATTCTGGCCCCGTACTTGAGCCGCGAAGCTGCAGGTGATCGGTGTCGGTATACGGCCCATTATGCTGGGGAAAGGCTGAGGAGCCGCCATTGTGGGCTGAGGCTGGCCCTGGCTCGCACTGGGACTGGACATCTCCATCATGTCGACATCGCAGTCCCTCATGTCGCTGGGGGTTGCCGGGCGCTGCGAAGGTAGTTCTGGTTCATCGGCGTACATGGTGAGATCGGGCTCCGGATCCCTCGAGGGGACTGGAGTGATATTGGTAGAAACCCCGTTTGCCGAAAAAATGGGGTTTGACGGAGGGAAACTGGGCACTTCGCCCCATTGCGTGGCCGACCTGAAAGGGAGTGTTTGGATCCGTTTCTGCGACGCGTGTTAGACCCAGAGGGCTCATTCCGTGTAGAAGCACAAGAGAAGGCCTACTTTTCTATGTTCCGCAAACCCAATGGTACTCCCCGGGGCGAAAGTCAGCTCATCGACATCGTCTTCCCTACACCGCTTGCCCGAGCGCTGCGGGTCGGGCCACGAATGGTCGACAAACATGATGTCGGTTTGAAGCAGACGGGGCTAATCGGGCTGTCTTTGTTGTCGGGTGTTATGTTACGCCTGGACAACAGCCAGACCCGTGACAGAATGGCGTCTGACTGGGGCGACGAAGGCGATCCGTGAGACGAAAAGCAAGCGGATGTGATGGCGCAAGTTGTGGTTGCTGATACTAGTATGCTCGATAGTTGTACAGCTCCCAGCTAGTGGTGGGGTCTGGGAGATAAGCAAGTTGCAAGAAGAGCACTAGTGAGAATAGATCCCTCTCTTCCACGGCTGTTGTTTTCCACAAACGCGTTTCATAAGTTGGGACACCAACCGAAGAGCGGAGGAAGAGAGAGGCAGTCGGCGGACGAGTGGGGGATGAGGCTGAGCAGAAAGACCAGGGCTGGTATTGGCAGATCTCAGCCGTCCCGTTGTCTTGAATCGATTGGCTGGATCACAAGCCGAACAGCGGAGAGACACCAATTCCCAACCTACTGGTCTCCCAGCTTTTGCAGCGGGGAAGAAGAAGCGTTATTGAGCGCCGGTGACTAGTACTGGCAGTATAGTATGCAAAAACGGCCCATCATCAGCCCCTTTTCCAGTTGCTATGGCTTCCACATGACACGAAGTAAAAAGCAAAACCTCCCTCGCCGTAAGGAGCGAAGGGAAGGGAAGGGCGGATGCTGCTGTCTGGAAGACCCTGGACCCACAGGCCATGATTGGCAGGCAACGGCCGGCAGGCATCGACGTCAGATGCAGCAAGACCCACGCACTCAATGCGGGAAAATGCAGGATACATGCATAGAGCATGCTGGAATATGCATAAACTGAGACTCAAGGGCATGGCGATGTTTCTGATAAAATGACATAAACAGACACGCGATAAGCATGTGTTCAAGGGAATGAAGCTTCAAGTATATTATGTGTGCACTGTTCTCATCGAACTTTTTGAGATTGACCTGAATTGACCAAAGATCTCTCATCTAAGCTGCCTGTGGACCCCTTTCCAATAACCATTATTAGATTTGCTATCCGCATAGTATATAGATGCATGCATAGCGTGGTAAGGGGTTAAATAGGTCGCTGCCAAACTCATCAAGAGCTTCCTGGCAACCAAAAATGTGAACACGCAAGAAGTGGTTGGTTTCAGTCTTGCTTCAAAACCTGTTGTCTCCAGCTCAATGCACAGATTTTCAAACTATCGAAATGAGAGTCACCATCATTAAAGCGAGCGCGGAGATGTTGATTAGTTAATGGACGAAGTGTAATTTTTGTGGAAAGTAATCTTGCTTCATCTTGTTCTTGTCATTGAATTCGTCTCATTTACATTCTTTGGTTTGTGAAAAAAGAGCATCTTTTGACAGGCACCAGAAGGCCTTCTTAGGAAGTTCAGTCAGTCCGCCATTTATGGTGCTTCCAAAGACGCCGGACTGCGACTGTCGACCCTAACCTTCTGGAATTGAATCTTTTCAGAAACTCGGACCGGAGAGCTCGGCTGAGTCTGGGGCTCGGAGTTCCGCCTGTCTCGGATCCGGTCTCCGCAGGCCCGGCATCTTCGGCTTGTTGACTTGCATGGGCGTCGCAACGGTCATCGACTCCACGTTCTATACGTGACCTCTAATCTGGAAGCCTGATGTCTTTGCAGGGGCCCAAACTTCGTGTCTGAGCCGGTGGTCCTTTTAATCCCCATTTCTTCGAGTCCAAAAGAGACCGCATCCAGATCAGGGTGACAGAGAAGAACAGCCCGTATGAGACTTGAGCATTGCTAGGCGATCCACGGAGGGAATAGTGAGCAGTTGAATCCCCTGCGGATTTATTCAGGTATCACTGCGGCAGTCTTGGATCCTAGTCTTCTATATACTCAGTCGGGCAGCTTGCAAGCAAATTCTCCGAACATTGAAGAGCCCGGAGTGCAGAGCCCATCGGCCGGTTCCGACGCACCTCGGCGCTACTCCGTAGGGTGGACACGCTGCTAGTCTCCGAAGAGTCTCCGAGCCCAGGTCAAGTCAAACAACAGTGATAAAGCTAAGGAGATGCAATTGAGGTGCTATCTATGAAACACGGGCTCGGAGGTCACCTGGAGCTGTTTTGACTCAAACAGGCTTTAATTTTACATGGGTTCTGGCGACCTTTCCAAGTTCGAGAAGAACACCGTCGGCCATTTCCATCCTGGGATACAGAACTGTTCGCTTCCGAAGAGCACAAACATGGCCCAGGGCAACTTATCACAAACACGTCTCAACACAATTGAGACAAAGGTGCAGTATCCGATCATCGAAGATATACAAGTACTCTTAAAAAGATTCAGTTGAGCGGGAGCAATCTTCGAGATGAAACTCGATCCTGGCAAACAAGGGCCATCCAGCACTCTTCTCGATGTATTCATGCAGGCATTTGATGCGCTTTGTGCTGCCCAAACATGCTGCTCTTTTCTACCAATGAGCTTCCAGCACCAAAGGCGGTGAGCGGGGGAAAAAGGCCGTCTGGCTTCTGGCCCCACCCCCACCTTGCTCAAAAGTTTGGGTGCATACCGTCCCGTCCATCCATCAACCCAAACGCCCAAACATCCTGTCGTGGCTTGTACCTCAACGCCGGCAACCGTGATTCAAACTTTGACATCTACGCAGGCGTATCACTGCATGCTTCAATGCTTCGTGTGCGGCCAGATGCAGGAGAGACAGGACACTAGGAGGATGGTCGGCTAATCTGGCCAGCTCTGAATGCTCAGGACTCTGAACTGCTTTTGTTCGTAGTACATCCGAATACATATACGCCAAGTTCTGCCCCTGGTTTGGTTGGCGATTCACGGACCGACCTCCCCCGTGGGATGTGAACCAAGAACTGGGGCACGCTGAGTCACTCCCACTGCTCATCCCATAATTAATGACGTCCCAAATGTTTCTTTCGGACGGCTAGATAAACATTGACTGCTATCATATCCTCCATCTTGCGTAGTCGGACAAAATTCTGGGTCTCTTTGTGTGTGCCTTATCACTATCGCATCCAATCATCTCTGGGCTAACACCTGGACCTACCCACATTTTAACTTGCACCCTGAGGGCCGATCTCGCCTCCGAGCTGGCGGCAACACAGATTCGCTTCTTTTCTACAACAAACACCCGTTTCCTGCCCAGGGTACCACCTCCTGGCAAACTCTACTGCCGCCCGTTTGTCCGGCGTTCGAATCTTCGTCCAAAAACGTCTTCTCCCTTGATACCCCCAAGACAACCTTTCAAAATGCCCGGCGTTGAAATGAAGCCCCTCCGGGCCGATGACATGCGAGGTACGGTGTTCTCCCAGGTCAAAAAGCGCTGTTGTTCGTCCGAAAACAACCTTCTGGCGTCTAAACGGACCCTTCTTTCGTTGCCTCATACGTGAGGTTCACAGAGCGGTTCTGCTAATGCGTCTTCCTCCTCAAAAGTGCTGGGCCAGGACCCCCTCATCCCTCCTGCCCTCCTCATCTCCGAGATCCCCATGCCGGATGAGTCCCTCCGGACTGTCGTCAAAGGCCGGCGCGACGCCGTCAACATCATCATGGGCCGCAATGACCGCCTGCTGGTCATTGTCGGCCCCTGTTCTATCCATGACCCTGCGGCTGCGATTGAATACGCCAACAGGCTAAAGGCCGTCTCGGACCGCCTGCAGGATGATCTCTGCATCATCATGCGCGCCTACCTGGAGAAGCCGCGTACAACGGTCGGCTGGAAGGGCCTGATCAACGACCCCGATATCGACCAGACCTTCAAGATCAACAAGGGCCTGCGGGTGTCTAGGCAGCTCTTCCGCGACCTGACCTTGACCGGCATGCCGATTGCTTCCGAGATGTTGGACACCATCTCTCCCCAGTTCCTGGCTGACTTCATCTCGGTCGGCGCTATTGGCGCCCGCACCACGGAGTCTCAGCTGCATCGTGAGCTGGCCTCGGGTCTGTCCTTCCCCGTTGGCTTCAAGAACGGTACTGATGGCAACCTGAACGTTGCTATCGACGCCATTGGCGCTGCTGCCGCCCAGCACCACTTTATGGGTGTTACCAAGCAGGGTCTGGCTGCCATTACTCGTACTTCGGGCAACGAGCACGGCTTCCTCATCCTGCGTGGCGGCACTAAGGGCCCCAATTACAGCAAGGAACACATCAAGGAGGCCAAGGAGACCCTGATCAAGAAGGGCCAGAAGCTGGCCATCATGGTTGACTGCTCTCATGGTATGTTAGCAAAGCGTCCTCAATTGTCCTCATGACCTCACCATACTGACTCATCTAGGCAACTCCAACAAGGACCACCGCAACCAGCCGAAGGTGGCCAAGGCCATCGCGGACCAGCTGCGCGAGGGCGAGACCGCCATCATTGGCGTCATGATTGAGTCCAACCTCTGCGAGGGCAACCAGAAGGTGCCTCCTGAGGGCCCGTCCTGCCTGAAGAAGGGTGTCTCTATCACCGACGCCTGCATCGGCTGGGAGACGACTGTCGAGGTTTTGGAGGAGCTGGCTGCCGCCGTGCGTGAGCGCCGCCAGGTCACTGCTGGGCAAGTTAAAGGCTCTCCCAAGACCACTCCCCTGGAGGAGGACTAAACAAACAGGGGTTGTGTTAATTGTGTTGTGTTGGGTTGGGTTGGTAGGAAGGGGATGAGAAATGAAGATGGTTATGAGGATAAAAAAACAGATAGCGTGGCGATTTCGGGCCGGTAATTTTCGGGACTAATGGGCTCAAAAAAGGTCATCTTGTATTGGCATGCTGGGCAAATGCGTTCGTTCTTCATATGGAGTGACAAAAAATGGGCCTGGGAAGGAAAACAAAAGGAATGAGTTGGGCCCAAAAGTGCTTCGAGAGCGTAGCATAGTCGACTGGGTCTAGATGGTGCATCCGGTTTAGAAAAGTTGCGTTGTGTTGGCAAAGCAATCTCCAATCCATGGTTTCCCACCTACGCAAATGAACAACATCTGAAAGCACAGTGCCGTCCCAGACCATAATATCCCGATTCTCAGTCATGGCACAATCCAAAGCATATCCATTACACCCTAACGCCAGTGTACAGAAACATCTCTCGTCCTCCCCATCCTCTATCTTCACCCCGGCCTCACCGGTCCGGCCTCCCCCTCCAAAGGGTTGTACTCCGCTACAGGCGCTGTCCGTCTCGCGAAGACCCCTCCTCCCCTCGTACTAACACCACCTCCACCGATTCCCCCAACGCTACCCCCTCCTCTCCCGCCACCGGGACTCTCTCTCCTCCTACCTCCTCCAAACCCAAAAGGCTTCTCCCCCTCAAAAATCACTCTCCTCATGCCCGCCCACCCCAGCAATCCCGCCGTCCCAACAATAAACCCCCACACAATCACCCTGTCTTTGCGGCTGTCTCGCTGGAAACAGCTGGCTACCACATCTTTTTCCTCTGCATCCTTGCAGATCGGGAGGTTGTAGCTTAGGCAGAAGGCGCGGTTGCATTGGCTACATGAGGAAGAGGCTGCGCGTCCTTGGAGGGGGTCGAGGGCTTGGGGGTTGGGAAGATGATGGCGGGGGGTTGACGTGGAGGTCGAAGGGGGTTTGGAGGTTGTTGCGGGGGGTTGAGGAGGTGGTTGGTTCGGTTTTTGAGGGCCGAGGGGGATGATGGTGCTATTTTTGAAGCAGGTACATTTGCAGAAGGTTGGGACGGCTATCAATGAGGGTTAGTTAGCATATGTGTTGGGAATGGAGCGGAGGTGATGGGTCGTTGACTCACATGCGCTGGCAAGAGTTGCTAGGGAGAGGATAGCGCAGAGGAAAAATGCAAATGAAATCCGTATTCGTGCCATGATGTATATGCAAGCAGAGAGTGTTGCCTGCTGAACGAAGCGTGACAAAGGCGCTGGTGAGGACCCTGATGAGGACGTCACGTTCGATACCATCCTCGCCGCAGCGTTGGACCCGCAATCAATTAGCACCGCCACAGCCGACCACCGCCATGCTTCATATAGTCACGTGACATAAGCGAAGATGACGTGGCTTGCCACAACCTTGTCCCCAAGGTCCCAACTGTGGCTGTGAGCGCGTGCAGAATGCAAATGTGCACGGATCAAGGTTTCCAACTATAAAATCTATCTCATCCTCCAGGTTTTTGAGACATTTTCCTTCTTTCTTTCCTCGCCCTTCGGGGCATTTGGTCAATTTGAAACGATACAGAGAAGATTAGCATGGCCCCTGCACTAAGGATGACACGCTACTCAAAGAGACGCTACCAATTTTTTTTTTTCGCTGTGATCGTGGCCGACGAGTCGCGACATGGAGAAGAAAAGTGGCTTTGGTAGCTGGAGAAATGCTGTGGTTGTGATTTTATGCTGTTTTAGCTGGATTTTCATCGACTGCAATGGTGAAAGTGGCACTTGTCCACTCGACTGCCTTTGGATAATGTGGTTAGCACCCTTTTTGAACGTACGGCAAGCCTGGAGCAAGAAACATCTGTAACCCTACTGGTGAGCTTGCCATTTTTCCAAGTCGTTTTGAGCAATGTTTGGATGAGTCTTGCATATTAACCATTGGCTCTTTTGTTTCTTTATGCAACGGCAACTCCATGTTCTGGTGTTCTCTGTTTTCTACCCTCTTGACATCATTGAGAAACAGCATTTCGATATACAAGGTACTTGTGTTTGGGGAAGCAGATTGTGTTCACCTAGGCTCCCCTCCATCGACTTTGTAACATTCGACCTTTACAACCGCTTACATAGAGCTTCAAAAGATTCTAACCCAAACTTCTCCGTCATTCCACTTAAGCGGGTTACCAAGCACAGAAGACCAGTAAAGCCATCAGCCTACCTGGTCAAATTATCACGGCCACTGTCCTAAGAAACTGCAATGATGTTTTATTAACCATGCTGACGCTTCCCATATACCTATAATACATACATGACCTCGGAGGGGTCAAAGGCCTATGGACTGTGGCGACCAGAAATCACCACCTATGGACTATGGCAGCCAAAGGCTACCACACACAAACGCTTACCACTCATCAAAATGAGCACAACTCCACTCCCAGGTATACCCGTATCCCGTCCCAACGCCTACACCGAAAGCTCGCCATCTATTCCCAGCACCACCCTAGCCATAAGCGAAGCACACAAGCACGGTTCGGTACATACCTCACTTTCCTGCGATATCAACAACTCGAGCCTGATGCTTAAGCATCGTGCTTAGGACCATCTACATGCTGCTGCTGAGCTTGCTGGCCATTGCCTCCAGCAGCATCACCAGTACGGGGACCATTGGCAGACAGACTGCCATGCGTCTTGCGGATATCAATCCAACCCATAAACAGCGACGTAAATACGGCCAGACCGGTGATACCAGCGGCCATGTAGAAGACGTGGCTGATGGCGATATTGTAGGACTGCAGGACGACCGGCAGATCTTTCGGGGCGACAATGCTCCGGAAGTTGGTGGCACCAGCATCCAGGATGGAATTGGGGTCGACATCCGGAGCACGTTGGGTCAGGTCATGGACCAGGGTAAGGTCGAAGATCGTACCGGAGACGGCGAGCGCTATGGCCACGCAGAGAGACTGGATGAAGGAGACGACCGACAGACCGATGGGGATCTGCGGGGGCCTAAGTGCGGCTTGAACGGCGAGGACAGGCTGGATCGATGAGTATAAGAAGCGCTGGTAGGCGAATGGGAGTCCTTACCATCTGCATGCCAAAACCACGGCCGACGCCGTTGAGAACCTGGTAACCGACCCATTTGGAAGTTGCGGTGTCTGGCTTGAACGTGGAATACAAACCATTGGAAACCGAGCCGATGATTCCAGACAGCATTGCGTAAGGAATAACATAACCGGTACGCTCAACTATGGTAACAGTTAGCATGTGTCGAGAAAAAAAAAAAAACTTGAAGTATAAGCCACTTACCTAGCATGCCTGCTACCACAGCCGACAAAAGCTGACTACCGATGCTGGCAATAAGGTAGACACCGCTCATCATGGGGACAACGCCCTTGACGGCCTGGAAGTACATCGGGAGGTAGAAGGAGGCACAGTACACACCGGTCAGAAGGAAACCCTGTGTGCAGGCCGAAGACCAGGTAGCGTTGATTCGGAGAATCGACATTGGAATCAAGGCATCCTCGCCATGGTAGAAATTCCAAACGAACCAGACGACAGCAGAGGCTCCAGCACCGCAGAAGAGGCCAATGATGGTCGGCGAGTTCCACGCGTACGGATCTCCCCCCCACTGAGTCGCAAGGAGAAGCATAACGGCAGCTGGGGCGATGAGTGTGAAACCGACGAGATCGAGCTCGACATGGAGCCGGCGAAGCACATCGAAGGGCTTGGGCTTGGTAACCAGGTCGGGGATGTCAACCAACATCAGACCAATGGCCACGATCGCGCCGACAGGGAGATTGACGTAGAAGCACCAGCGCCAGGTGGTGTAGGAGGTGAAAGCACCGCCAACCAGAGGGCCTAGGACAATACCCAACTGCGAGAAACCCATCATGATGCCGGTGAGCGAAGGGCGTTTCTCCAGAGGCACAGTAGCAGCCAGGATGGTAACAGCCCCGTTGATGAACCCAGAACTGCCGGCACCAGCGACGGCGCGACCGATGATGAACATCCCAGACGAGATTGAAGTGCCGCAGATGAGTGAGCCTGCCTCGAAGATCGCAAAGAAGGCCAAGAAGGAATACTTGATGTTGAACTTGCTATAGATGCGACCAGTGATCGGTTGGAAAGCCGAGCTGGCGAGCGAGTAAATACTGGCGTACCAGCCCACATCGTCGACCGAATGGAACTCGTCCGTGATGCGTGGGACCTAAGTGAAATGTAAATGTCTCGATCCGAAAAGCGATTTTCCGCCGAAAGTCGACTTACAGCCGTAGAGATGATCGAAGTGTCCAACATCATCAGGAAAATAGCCGTGGTAATGGACGCGAGCATCGCAAACAGCTTGAACCCCATGGCATAGGGAGGAGACGGCGACTCGTCGCGAATACTGGCCGCTCCATCTCTGCCAATGTCAGGCTCAGTATTGAGAGGAGCGGGAGTCGGATCCTGCAGAGGGACAGTCTGGAGCTCGATAATCTCCGAATCACCATCCGTGCCAGCATCAAAGGGCCGGAAGACGGGGGAGGAGGGGACCGTGATGCCTATACTACCAAGCGAGTAGACGGGCGAGGAGTCGCCATCGCTAGGCCGGTAGACGGAGGAAGAGGAGGACCCCAAACGTGGCGTTGAGTGCTGCGAGGCTGCCATGTTGGCTGCTGAACAAGTCGGCGTCCAACTGAAGAGACCGAGGTGAAACTGAGGTGACGTGAGCCGAGAAGTGTAATGTTTTCAGTTTTGGGGCCTGTCAATTTTTGAGTTGGTGGCCGCCAGGAAGGTGCGAGCCTGCCCGTTAATCAGGAACGGGGTATGACGCTCAAGACGACTGGCCTCAGCTTTCATCTCATGATTTACCTCCAGCTTAGCACCCAAACACCCTCTCTGCTTGCTTCGAGACTTGCTCATTGTGATTAAATTCCATATAAACGGCCACAATTTCCGATTTTTTTTATTCGTTGATGAGTGATTGTACAGGTTTTGTCTTGTTCTGCTACCTCAGGCTTCAAAAAATTCAAGCATTTCAGTGGAACAGTGACGGTACGCATGACATCTGATGCTGCTTTCAGAGTATACACAAATGTTGGTTTCTGTCTTATCCCAAACCTCGAGGCGGGGGTAACACTGTAAAGCCATCAACGACGGCGTCAAGGTTGGTGATGAGGTTGAGAGGTTGAGACAGCGGAGTGTTCCACGACAAGGTTTTCAGAAGCGTCTTGGCAGAGGCACAAAACCCTAACCCTGTTTCTTGACAGAAAAATTTCCAGATCGCCGGATTTCGGCAATCGGGTTTTTCTCGGGGCCCGCTTTGACGACGACGCCTGTGGTTCATTGCATCCCCCCTTTTCCTCTAATTGACAGAACTCGACGTCAATCCCGACGGGTGGATTTCAAGACGCCAGCACTTTCACCCGCTGCTGCGGCTGACGTTAGACCAGATTCGGCCATCCTAGCCATCCAGTGCCAGCGTTTCTTTCCCGACCTTGGCTCGGCCCGCTGATCGACTTTCTGCAAGGAGCTCCAAGCCTACTTGCAGCCATCTGCTCGGCTGTCGTCGTCGGTTCACGCCTCACGGCATCACCAAACCTCGCTTCGAGATCGTTGTTGTGTTGGACAAACCCTAACCCTCGGCCAGCTCGGATGGTTGCCAGCGAGTTGTGATGGGCGCAGACAAAACCATGGGCGCGGCAAACGCGACGACGACGCCATCTGGAGGCATTCCAGCCCCCTATGGCAGGGCGTGCACGAATTGTGCTCGTGCAAAGTGTCGGTGTATCTACAGGAGTGATGGACCTGACTGTGAGAGGTAGGCGAGATCTGGTTTTGCTCTTATATTCCCGCTTACACTTGCGATATCTCATGCTGTTTTTGTCATGCTGTTACCCCATAACACCATCTCTTTCCCCAGCAAAAGAAACTAATTCCATTGGATTGGGTTTGCGGCGCCCTCATCACACCGTGACATTGTCCACCAACCACATCTAGTGAGCGTTGCATGTCAGATCACTAGCTAAGCCCGAGCCAACCCGCCGTGCTTGCGTTGCCCAGACTCTCGGCACCGGAGCCGGGGATCCTCTTCCACTCCGCCGCCGGGACGGGTATCCGAAAGAGAACCCCACTTCCCCATCATCCTTGTTCCCCGTGCTCGAAGACGTCTTCGCTGATTCTCGATGACTGTTGTTGACTGGTCTTCAGGTGTCATCGATTGAAGAAGGAATGTGTGCCTTCAGTTTCTGTCCGGAAGCGCAACAATGCCAAACGGTCTCATGTCTCTCGGGCTGCTCAGCTCGAAGCCAAGCTTGAGAATTTGGCCGAACTCATCCGGCAACAGCATGCCCCGGTTGACAAAACTACATCTGGAGCAATAGCATGTCAGGTCCCTGCTGCGAGCACCTTGGGCAGCCAGTCCAGCGCGACCCAGACTGCGGCGAGCTCGCCCCAACCAACAACCACTGGTCCTGCTTACCTTATGCATACCGACTATGCTCAAAGTAACCCTCGACCGATCCCAACGCCTCGGAATCCTTCTTTTGAAGCTCAGTATAACGTTACGGGTGTGACTCCACACACGCCAGTCCCCCAGCCAGAGCCTGCAAATATGCTAGCCTCTGTCTACCAGCCAACCCCAGCTGAGGCAGCTGAGCGTCTCATGACTTTTCGGAAGTATATGCTCATCTTCTTGCCATTCATCTACCTCCCTGAGACAGAGACACCGGAAAGACTCAGGGAAGAATGGCCTTTCCTGTGGTTCAGCATCATGACGGCCACTTGCCAGAATGTGGACCAGAGACTGCTTATGTGCGAGGCCACAAAGAAGTTTCTGGCTCAAAAGATGATTGTTGAACATGAAAAGAATCTTGACTTTCTTCTCGGTCTTCTGGTTGTTATGGGTTGGTGAGTAACCACTACCTACCAAACCTGAGTATTTACAGCTAATAGCCTGTACCAAAAGGGTTCATTATCACCTTCGTAAAGAGAAACCTATTCTCTCAGTGCTGGCTTCCCTTGCCAAGTCTCTTGTTTTTGACCTGAGCCTCAACAAGGTTCCCTCTGAGCCTTATATCGCAACGTGCCTCAGAACATCGTTTCATCCGACGCCCCGCGAGAAGTCCCTTACTGAGCGGCGAGCCGTCCTTGCTTGCTTTTTTATCACTTCACAGTCAGTTTCACCTCTCTTCCGCTGTTCAGTCAATCGTAACTGACATTTTGTGCAGAATTTCTCAGTCCATCAAACGTTTGGATGCGCTTAACTGGACACCACACATGGATGACTGCCTTCAGATCCTGTCTGAGCAACGGGAATGGGACGGGGATGACCTGTTGGTGGCTCAGGTGAAGGTTCAACTGGTAATCGAACAGGTCACTCAAGCGACAACTCAATCCCAGGATGGCACGCTGTCGACCTTTATCTCAGATGCTCTCAGGACACAGCTGCAAAACATCAGACTTCGTCTCCCAGATCATTTGCGTCAAAATGGTAAGACATTCAAACTCGTTCATTATTAAAAGCACTAGGGTATCTCCGCCCCATTTCTAACTTTTTCTTCCCCCAGATACCGTCTTAAGTCACATCTCATACGCCGAGCTAGCCATTTACGAAGCCACACTCGGTAAAATAGGCAAAGGCCCAACCAACGGAACGATGTCGGATCTCCAGCGGTACGAGGCCATGCAGGGTTCCCTGTGCGCAGTCAAAGACTGGTTTGACCGGCACTTTTCTATCCCGACCTTCGTGTACGTTGGCATGACCTTCAGCTATTGGTGCCAGCTGTCACACTGCCTGCTGGCACTGTACCGCCTGTCGATATACGACGATCCGGCCTGGGACCGCCGTGCTGTTCGTTCCCGAATCGATTTATTTGCAATCTGTGATCAGCTCAAAAAAGGCTTTGACGAGGTCGCCGCCCAGCGACGGTTGGTGGCCGGGCCGACGGTTGAAGAAGACACATTTACGAAGTTCTCGCGAATGTTGAGGACAATGAAAAGCAATTGGCTTGCTGAGCTCGATGCTGCGCAGCAACCTCGCAACCTAGGCATGCCCCCGAACCCCAGCGGTGTGCCGGTCGGCCTTGGCGTTAACCCGCAGCAGCAGCAGCAGCAGCAGCAACAACAGCAGCAACAGCAGCAACAGCAGCAGCAGCAGCAGCCGGAGGTGTTCATGGACGGCGGTGCGAATGGGCTTAATGTGACCTTCTTCCAGCCAGACGATCCAGACTCGTGGATTGCCGGGTTGTTTGATATAAACTGGAGTGAGGTTTAATTGGCGCCCGGCATTTTTTCGATACATCAGAAAAAAATGTGGAAAGTCGACCGTCCGCTCACATTTTGATGCTCACAGTTGAGGGTCACTTTTGGCCCCCTATGCCGGCTTTGCTCACGACAGCCGGTGTCACTCTCGCCTCCTGCTATGGCTGCTCACGGCTGACGGTCACTCCGTACCCTTCACTCCGGCAGCAGCTCACATCCGCTGGCAGTCACTTTCAGCTATTTGCTTCGGTTCTGCTCACTGCAACTGGGGATCACGTTCGCCCCCCCCCCCCTCTTTTGTGCCGGCTTCGGCTCCTCCTCCGCAACGGGCACCATCGCCGCCCTCCCCGGGTTTGGACCTGACCCAATCACCTCCGCCGAACGCTGCCCATAACCCTGTCCCCCGCTACTGCCCGCACTCATCACGCTGGCAAAGCTCAGTGCCCTTGCCCTGTCACCGCCGGGGATCAAGAATGTCGGGATGGTCGGGCTGTTACCCAGATCGATGGGGTGACGTGTTTTTGGCAGAGGCTGTGACGACGAGAACTCCTCGCTTGTCCGGGGGGCTTGTTCTCCTTGTTCTTGGTCATGGGTGAGGGTGATTTGCGGAGTGTAGGCTGAGTACTGTCTCTGCGGCTGCGGTGGTTGGTAGGGGGATTGATACCCTCCTCCCATAGCAGCAGGCGCGGGAGCAGGCAATGTGTTGGCGTAGTAGGGGGGTGAGAGCGGCGAGACGGGGAGGGAGGGCTCGTTCAAGGTCGGGCCGGTGGTTGAGTTGGTTGTCATGTCGCTTACGGGGCGGGAGACGGTTGATTCCCAGCGCTGGGGCGCCAAGTGCTGCTGCGAGGCTGGTGGAGGCACTAGTTGGGTGTACCCGGGCTCGGGGGGCATCATGCTTGCGGGGGGCATCACGTAGGGTGAGGTTCCATAACCGTTACCGGCGATGGGGGTTTCTTCGGTGCTGGTGGTATAAAAACTTTCCTTGCCTCCTCCTCGCATGCCCATCCCAGTTCCATTTTGCATCATCATACCCTCCTGACCACCTGCCTGGCTCACTCCACCATCCCCCATCTCCATCGGCACGGTTTCATTCCCAGCAGTAGCGCCCCCACCTCCACTTCTCGGACCGCTCGAAGGACCGGCATTCATCGGAGACATGTTCATCCCGCTCGGATAATCCGCCGTCACCAACGCCCCTCGCAACCCGCCTTGCTTCTTCCGCCACAGCAAGAACACAACTGCGATGATGGCTGCGAGACCGGCGACTGCGCCTGCTGTGATGCCGGCGGCGGCACCGGGGGAGAGGCCGCCTGTGCTGGTGTTGAGGCCTTCACCGGAGGGGGGTTTTGGTTGGAGGGGGAGGGGTTATGGTTGGGGGAGTGGGAGTGGGGGTTGTGGAGGGGGGTTCGGTTGAGGTTGATGAGTCGGTGGAGGTGCTGGTTCTGGTATCGTCGTCGTCGTCGGTTGAGGTTGAGGTGCTTGTGGAACGGCTGGTTGTTCTGGTCGTGAGGGTTGACGAAGTGCGGGTTGATGAGCGAGTGGTACGGGTAGTTGTTGTGCGTTGGGAGGTCGTCGAAGTAGTTCTACTCGACGAGGCGGTCGTTCGACGACTGCTGGTGCTGGTTGTTGTGCTCGTGGCTACTCTAATCGGACGGGTCGAACTTGAAGTGGATGAGGAAGTCCGTTGCCGTGGAGCGAGGAGCGTAACATGGGAGGGGTTAAGCTTCGCTGCCGGGGTTGGGTCGGGCTGTCGTGGGCGGTCAGCCAATTGAGCCGAAACGACTGAGCTGGGGAATTGAGAACAGACAATTGACGGTGATGATGATGTGGCCGGAGTCGCACTGATCTGCGCCGCCGCCGCAACACCGGCTCCATGCGCCGAAATGGCGACTAAGGGCAGGAGAATCTTCTGGAGCTTCATGACTCGGTTGAGCGATTGTCGGTCAATCAACCAACCGGCCAGCGCTTATCGGTTGTCCGTAAAGCGCGGTGATTGGGTTTTGTTGAGCCGAAGAGTGAGGTCAGGTCAGGTTAAGGTGGGAGGTGAAGCAAAGTTGGTTGAATCAGATGTTTCGTTGAGGAAAAGCGGTTTTGCAAAACAGAACGCTGAGAACCAAGTTAGGTTAGGATCTTCGCTCAATGCAATGCAGGCCAATTCAATTCAGTGGCTGCAGGTGTTTGCTTTTCCTCATTGAAGCAGCGCGGCTGTGGTAGGTAGATTCAGATTCGCAGCAGCCGGGATAGAATTCGCGTGTATGTGTGCATGAATTTGTCGACAATAGCAAGGGTGCTTGAAGCTGAGGAGGGGCACACATGCATTGACATGAGATGGGGATCTTTTGCAGCTCGGCGGCGCAGTATGCTATTTTTTGTGATCTGTTAAGGCGTTGTTAAGGCACCTGCAGGAAGATCTGTTCGGTCTGACTCGCCCCCAAGATCGCCAGCTAAAGGAGTGAGCAAGGGAAAGGGGAAAAGGGGGGGAGGGGGGGAAAGAAGGGGGAGAAGGGAAATTTTTGGGAAGAAGAGAATAGGATCAAAACTGCTTTGGCTTCGCCAGCCAGCTACTTCTCGGCTTGTTTCATATCTGCAGATGGTTTTCATTGTCAAGTATAAAGCGCAGCACAGCCCCTCCGGTTTCCGCTCCTCTGGGGCCCCCGAGCCTGAGTGATGAAGAATGCTACTCTCCGCGGGAAGAGATGGCATGGCGTGGTGTCATGAATGTGGCCGTGAACGTGCGAGTGCCTAGTAAGAGACGCAGTTTGCGTGGTGCCTGGGGCGTTGCACCCGGCCATGGCATGCTACCTGCATAAGACGTTGTCATCCTACGCTTGAGGGAATCCTTCATTGCAGCCTTGCCCGGTCTGCTTTGGGCCATGACCAGTCGGCCAGCCGGCCCTGGGACAGGTGACCTATGATCTATCCTACTGAAGTTCTGGAAAAGACTTTGGGCAATGATTTCGGGCATTTGTCCCTGCTGCTCTCCCCGCGAGTAAGAGCTGCAAGCCACACCGAGAGGAGTTTGGCTCTGCATTCCGGGGTTTGTTTCAGAGCCTGCGGTGGCAGGGTTGCGTTTTTGTCCGTCGTTCCACTGCCTGCCGTCGCGTGCTTGTTTCATTGGATGCCTTGGCCTGCGGCTGGTAGCAACTAGCGATGTTGAGCTCGATCCTACGCTACGTTTACTTAGGTAATCCGTAAGCCGGAGGGATGACATGTGGAGGTTTATTCCGTAAGTGACCTGGACCAGACAGGGACTGTAAAACTATCCACGATCACTTTTTGGAGAACAAAACGGAATCCAATGGGAGTAAATCATATAAAGGCAAGGCAGATGTCACCAATCGCCCTACCCGACCTACACACATGATGCTGTCATTGGTGACATCTGTACCATCGTCATTCGATAAGTTGAGCGAAAACCGTCCCATCAACGTTCTTACAGCCACTCTGGGCTGCGGCACAGAGGATTGCGTCAGGTTTGGGCAGCAGCCAGTACGGAGACCGGACCGTTTTGAGGTTATCGGGCCGGAGGGGCGGTGGCCTTGTAGGCGATCGGCCCTTTGTGGGTACTTGAAATCCGGCGGGCGGCCCGGGCCGGGCACGAGTCGGGGCGTTTTCGAGGAGTCGGTCTGGAACACTGGAGCAGCCCAAACCGAGCTGAGCTGTCTTTTGCGTCTTACCTTGTCCCATTTCGGTCGCTTTGAAGTTTCATACGCTTGGTGAAAACTTTGAGCCGTAACCACAGCGATGACGTCGTTTGCAGACATCGTGACCGCTGACATCGACATCGTCGACCCCGAACTTCGCGACGCGATGATGATTTTCAGAGTGGACATCATTGAGCTTCTGGCCAGCTTCGGACCAGTCTAGCGTGCCGCTACCGACAAAGCCGTGGATCTGGGCAATCTCTGCTGATGAGCCCCTGGATCGTCAAATTGCTCATCGCTATGATTGGCTCGCCGCCGCGTGGCGTCCCATCCGATTTTCTTTTTTTTTTATTTTCCCCCTTCCGTTTGTTACTCTTCGTGTGCTCCGCTGTGACGGGAAACAAAAGATGGAGAACAGAACAGGTCCGGTTCGCATCAGCAAGCATCGAGATTTCGAACGAAGCTGCTAGCAACGCAGCCCTACGCGTGGAGCATCTTTTATGCACGCCATTGACCTATCGCTTCTCATCCATGCAGTCCATGCAATCGGTGATGCAGAGGGCCACGATGAATGGGCGGGAGCGCGGAAGCGTGCAGCCCCAGCAGGCAGAGCTTGGCAGGCAATGGGGCCAGGGCTACGCCAGGGTTGGCGCTGTGCTGACGAATGAAATACTGTGACCGTCTCCCCGGAACGCGCTAGCAAACGCCAAGAGCCCCACACTAGCACTTTGTAGGCTCCATCCTTTCCAGGGTTGATCGGGGTTGGTAGGGGGGGGGAGTCGTTTCCCTGCTTCCCTGCTTCCCCTCGACGGGACCACCCTAGGAGGGAAAAGAGAGCTTCCAGAGCTTCCCCCCAACTTTTCCTCGACATTGACTTCGTCGTCTGCTGGCCTTTTTTTCGCGAAATTTCCTGCGTGAAGGTTTCTGTTCGCGTTGAACAGTCGCTCTTCACAGATTTCGCAACAAAGTGCTGGGGCTTCCGGCGCATTGGGTGCATCGCGTCATCGTGCGACTGATGCTGTTGTCGGTTGCGCCACTAACTTGAGTTCTGTCCACTCTTCTCTCTCTCTTCTCTCTCTCTCTCTCGCTCGCTCTCTCTCTCTCTCTCGTGCCAATTCCCCTTCGCATCTCCTTTCGTGCCGCCTGTCAACATGGAGGCCGACGAGACGCACCAGAACAAGCCCTCGGGCATCCCTCGCCCGTCCAAGATTCCAGTGCAGACATCTAGACTACCCGTGCCCGTGCAACGCGCGAACTCGATCCGACAATGGAAATCTCGCGAGTCGCTGATGGTCGAGGAGGAGCCGGCGCCGCAGAGCCCCCGTTTGCGGACGACCGTCTCTCAAGACCGTCTTGCGCCCTCGCCGACCGCGAGGTCCTCGACAACAAATCGCACGCCGTCTGCGTCTTTCCCAACGCGGACACCAAACCGCGCGTCGGCTGGCTCGTCAAGCAACGTGCGCACCAGCTCGGCTACTACGCCTCAACCCATGAGGCTAGTAAAGGGCCCAATCGCACACATGAGCTGCCATGGCACTCGTCCGGGCCCTAACACAGCTTCTGCGGTGCGGCACCGTTCATCCCAGCAGAGCCTTACTTCGCAATTCTCGCCCAGACAAGACCACTTCCCAGCCGACGTGATGGGAAGCTTGAACGACGTGCATGAGGAGCCAGACCACGCCTCGAAGACAAGGTCACTCACCGAGAGAACCATCGAGACGCTGTCCCGCCTGCCTTCTTCTCCGGCTAACAAGGGACGGCATGCTCCATCATTCTACGAGACGGCGATCACAGGAAGGAAAACTTCACGGCCCTCCAGCCGCGCTTCTACCCTCGGGTCCAGCCACAGATCGGACGACCTCAGTGATCTGTCTCTGCCTGGGAGCCGACCTACTTCAAGAGACGGTACGGATGATGGTACCAGCACAGTCAGATCCCATGCTTCGAGCTTCAAGAGCAGCCTGCCTACCTTCGAGGGCGCGCCGCTGCGTACCCGCAGAAGCGTCCAGTCCATGTATGTTCCTAAGACCTCTTCCACCGCGAGGTCCGTCCGTTCCTCCGTATACGGTGCGCTACCTGCTAGGACAAGATCGCCCAGCCCTGCCGCGACGGAGATCCATGTGCCCAAGTCCAGTTCAAGGGCGGCCACTGCTCGTCTGACAAAGAAGCCTTCTGTTCAGGGCCTGGCAAAGAAGTCATCGTCCTCGACGCTGAAGGGGGATGCGCCAAGAAAGGCATCTATCGCCTCGCGGGGGTCATCTGCTCCATCAGTCGAGGGCACATCTACTTCCATCTCCTCGAGTAGCACCTCCCTGACTGTTGACTCGGCCGAGCAATCTGGCCCGGCGTATAGGAAGACGTCGGCCGCGCTTCGCGAGCAGATCGCCAAGGCCAAGGCAGCCAAGCGCGCTGCCCAGCAGAAGGAAGGCCAGAATGGAGCAGGCGGCTTCCCGGCCGACTTTAACTTCGACCTTGTCACCGATCCGTTTAACCAGCGTCGGGATGACAAGTCGCAGGCTGCGGTTCTGAAGTCGCGGCTCGAGTCGGCCAGGACTAGCGGCAGGCTTAACATTGCTGCTATGGGACTGAAGGAGATCCCGCGGGATGTCCTCCAGATGTATAATATTGAGTATATTGGCCAGTCGGGGAGTGCTTGGGCTGAGAGCGTGGACCTCACGCGGTTTGTGGCCGCTGATAATGAGATCGAGATGATCAGCGACGAGATGTTCCCGGATGTTGATCCGCAGGAGTTGGCGGAGCAGGAGGATAGTCAGGGGAATATTTTCGCTGGTTTGGAGACCTTGGATCTGCATGGCAATATCCTCGTGTCGCTGCCGATGGGATTGAGGAGGCTCTCTTTCTTGACGTCGCTGAACTTGGTAGGTTAATCGCTACACCCCCATACACTTAACGTTAGCTGACAGCTTTTTTAGTCCCTCAACCGCCTCGGCAACAACTGCTTGGAAGTGATATGCCAGATCCCATCCCTGAAAGACCTCAAGCTTGGCGGCAACCTCTTGTACGGACCGCTCGACCCATGCTTCTCCAAGCTGGAGAACCTAGAGAACCTGGATCTTCACGGCAACCAGCTCTCGGCGCTGCCGTCCAACTTCGGTAACCTGAGCCGCCTGCGTATCCTGAACTTAAGCGAGAACTCCTTTGAGGAGTTGCCATTTGACATCCTCTCTCACCTGCCCCTGACTGAGCTGGTGGCTCGGAAGAACCAACTTCATGGCACACTGATCCAGGACTCGGTCGACGCCCTGCAGTCACTGCAGACCATCGATGTGTCGTCGAACCAGCTGACACACATCTGCTCGCCCGGCAAGACGGTCGCGATGCCAGCGCTGCACCAGTTCTGTGTATCTATGAACCGACTGCAGGCGCTGCCCGATATCAGCAGCTGGACGAATCTGATTACCCTCGCTGCTGATGAGAATAGCATCAATGCTATCCCCGAGGGGTTCACCAAGCTCGAGAAGCTGAGGACAGTCGACTTCTCTAGCAACGATATCCGGATCGTCCCGGCTGAGATCGGGCGCATGGAGAACCTTGCCAATCTTAGGCTGAGCGGCAACCCATTGCGCGAGAAGAAGTTCAGCTCGATTAGCACGGAGGAGATGAAGGAGATCCTCGCGCAGCGGCTGGAGCCCGATGAGACTGAGCACATTCCGGAGCCCTCGTCGGCCATTGAGGCTCCAGACGGGTATTTCACTTGCCCTGAGCCGCAGGAGACTGAGCCGAAGAGGAAGGCTGTCCCGAAGCCCGTACCCGAGCCCGCTCCTCAGCGCGTTCCCCAAGTCAAGGCGCCTGCTCCAGTTCATGCCCAGCAGGACAACCATGACGACGATAGCCGCTCCGAAATGGATCACTTTACCACTCCCCCAACATCAGCCCCCGGCTCGCCGATGTCGACCCGCTCCCATCAGCAGCAACATCGGCGCCAGCCCTCCATCGAACCCTGGCCCGTCAAGCCCGGCGGCGTGCTCGACCGTTCCAACACACAATCAGCCTCCCTGCATCCCGTCATCTGCTCTAAGCTGGCGGCATCCCACAGAATCGTGGAGGTCCACCTCCACCACAACCTCTTTACCTCTCTACCAGAGTCCCTGACCTTCTTCGCCGAAACTCTGACAGCTTTGTCCCTCTCGCATAACCAACTCGTAGGCGAATCCTACCTCACCACCGACACTCCCCTCGACCTCCCCGCTCTATCAGAACTCAACCTCGCCCACAACCACATCACTTCCCTTCAACCACTCCTCACAAACCTTCACGCGCCGACCCTCTCCAAGCTAGACGTCTCCTTCAACCGCATCTCTGCCCTCCCCCCCGGCACATCCCTCCGGGACGCCTTCCCCAACCTTACCGTCCTCCTCATCTCCAATAACCACCTCGTGGATCTGGAACCGGACGCGATCAAGGGACTCAGGGTGGTCGATGCGGCGAATAATGATATCGCGCATTTGAATCCGAGGATTGGCTTGTTGGGACGGCCGGCGGGGAATTTGGAGCGGCTGGAGGTCAGTGGGAATAGATTTAGGGTGCCGAGGTGGAGTGTGCTGGAACGGGGGACGGAGGCGACGTTGAGGTGGTTGAGGGGTAGGGTGCCGGTTGCGGAGATGGGGGCGTGGAGGGGAGAGGACGGAGAGGAGGATGAATGAAGGTCTGGGAAGTAGAGATGGAATGGATATTTGTTTGTCTGGTTCATCTTTCACGTCTGATCTTGTCTGGAGTAATGCTCGGTTCAGGTTTGGTTTGGTCTTTAGTTTTTCGCTGGCCGGGTGTTGGTTGGTCTCATGCTTCAGTCCCGGCTCTTGGTTTGGTTTAATTTTTTCGTCTTTGGTGGGTTACCCCGCCCTTGTTCTTCGATACCATTGTTTGGTATACTTGAGTGTAATTCCCGCTTGAGTGTCTGTCTGGCTATTAGGTGTCTGGCTAGTACTTGATCTGGTCTGGGGATGCTGGAGTGTTCCTGAAGGAAGAGTGAGAGAAAGTTGTACTACTACTGTTTTTCTACTGTAATCTGGGTTTACATAGACTCGGACAGCGTTGGCTTTGGTTTGGCGTCTGGCATGGATTGGAGGGACCATGCTGGTAGCGAGCAACAACATTGATGTATAGTATCTACTAGTCGACAGATTATCCGATACATTAATTTCACTCGGCTGGTTTGCCATGTCGACAGATGGTCGTGTCATGCGTTGTGCGTTAGATGGAAAACTGTCGTCTGAGATCTGTGACGTTGGAACGTTTTCTCACCGGTCCGTGGCATGTCACCTTCCACTTCGCCGTTAGCGCGAAACCGTTGCGTTCCTTGTGGAGTCCCTAGCGGCTTTTAAAAACATTCCTTGCAACGGATGGGATTTTTTTTTTTTTGGTGTCGTCATACGGTTGTGTGTGGGTTTGGTGTTGATCGACTTTCCGGGCACACATCACGCTGATGTGTCTTCCCGTCTCATCGGTCACCCATTTTGGTGCGAGTCAGCGCGGAGGCAACGGGGAGATCCGATCTCTCACAGCTCTTCTGATGAGACGAAGTTTTCTGAGTGAAGGTTTTTGGTCTGGGCTGACGAGTGGGTGGCCCACGGCCCATCGGGAGAAGCCGAAGGATGGAACCCCCACCCCACTTTCATTCACATGGATTGTGGGTGTGGGGTGGGGTCCAGGCAGTTGGAGTTTTGGAGGGGTAGGGTCTTGGGAAACTTTTTTCCTCAACTTTTTTTTTGAATCTGGAATTTCCATCTCAACGTTCTCTCTTTGTGATTCCCTCACTAAATTCACCCGTGATACCCTTCCGCTCTGTAGACAATAGCTGGTAAGTATTTGAAAGAGTTTATGGACTCCATTGGCGCTCCTTCCCCCTCAGCTGGCTGCCCCGCATTGCATCGCATCGTGGCGCACCCTCGCTTCTATCCCACTCCCACTCTCCCCTCTCGGCGCGCGCCTGTCAGTCGCTTACCACTTAACCTGCCTTACCTACCACCCAACCGTCCACTTAAACTACAGTCTCACTTACACTGAACTTTTTATTGAGACAGCCTTCAACTTTAACCTCGGATACCCGTCGCAAAGTCGCAGACTGCCCCTCTTTCTGCGAGACCGCAACCCTCAAGGATACACAAAACTTTTCTGCGTCGCCAGCGCCAAGTCGTCAAGATGGTCGAGAAGCTCTACGTCACTTACAACGATGTAAGTCAACCGGCTTTCAACCCATGGAATTATGAGCATTGCTAAACCTCGACCAGGTGCACAAGCTGTGCCAGGAGGCTGCGCCCAAGATCCTCAACGACTTCAAGCCGGACTTGATGATTGCAATCGGAGGCGGCGGTTACGTCCCCGCGCGCATCCTGCGGTCCTTCCTTAAGCAGCCGGGCAGCCCAAACATCCCCATCCAGGCTATCGGTCTGTCGCTGTATGAAAAGCTGCCCAACTCGGGCGACAAGGACGTCGAAGAGGCTGGTACCAAAGTCACCCGCACCCAGTGGCTTGACATGAGTGCACTGGGCGAGATGTCGAACCTCGTCGGTCGCCGAGTCCTGATTGTGGACGAGGTTGATGATACCCGTACTACCCTCGAGTATGCGGTCCGTGAGCTGCAGAAGGATGTCGAGGAGGCCCGGAGCAAAATCAATTCGGATAAGAAGACGGAGTTTGCTATTTTTGTGCTGCATGTGAGTTTTTCTTTCTCTCCATTTTCTTTTTGAGCTAGTCGCTAACCCCTGCAGAACAAGGACAAGCAGAAGAAAGGCATCCTCCCGGAGGACATCCTCAAGAACCACTACCATGCCGCCCGCACCGTCGGCGACGAGTGGATCTGCTACCCGTGGGAGGCCACCGACATTGACGAGCATGACCGTCTGGCTGCCGAGGCGCGGGCCAAGAAGGGTCTGTGAGTGATGTCGGAGTAAGTGAAAAGAAAATAAGCATTTGAACCTAAGTCAGAAAATAAACACATACGCACGCCTGCTATTACCCATACAAAGCGTGCGTGATTCCAGCGAGCGAGCATGGAGTTCGGCGGTAGTACCATGGTCAGGATGTCTTTCGATTTCGGGCACATGGAATTATTCTGTACTGATAGATATGAACTTGACGGGCGTTTGGCTAGCTAGCGGCTTACGATGATAAGCTTTTTCATAGCATAGCCGGGAATGGTGGGAATGGGATGGGATGGATAATCGGCGGTTTGGGCGTCGAGGGTTACACAGTACAGGACAGGACAAGACATAGTTCATCCCGAGGGGTGTTGTGGGCACATGAGTGATGTAACTCAAGTACATGCCGTCCCACACTCTCTGCATCGGAGGATAAACCGAGCACAAAGCGCACTTCGAGTCGATTGACTGACTGATGAGATCAAAGAAATATTGTGTGAGTGACCAAGGTCTATTATCCCATTTTTATAATACACCCCAGCCAAGTAAGAACAATCTACGGCAACAACAACCAGCACATACCCACCCAGGTATCGGTATCATTACTTGTACATAACAAGCACTTTTTCCACACAAAGAACCGCTCATTCATTCCAGCCGCGCCCCTCCCCCCCCCCCTCAAAACCACCACACCGTCGTTCTATTACCCCTGCTGGTGTTCCGTCTCCTTCCTGTTCCTCTTGAGCCTTTCCTCCCTCAACCTCTTCTCTTGCTTCATAAACTCCCTAATCCCCACCGGTACATCCTTATACAACCCCTCATCCCACTCCATCCGTTCCCCAAACCCAGCCCCATCCTCCTCCATACTCGTCGACCCTTTTTCAAGCTCCCTGGCCATATCCCCCGTCCTATCAGCCACCTCCCCATGCACCCCCAACGTCCTTTCTACCCTCTTCCCGTCCTCCACAGCGTGCATACTCTCCTCCGTTGTCCCCACCACACTGCTCACCTCCTGTGCAGCCAGTCTGCGCTCGGCTTCGGCCTTGGCCGCCGCCCACGCCTCCATTTCTTCGCGGTAGGCGTCCCATACGCAGTTCACACACCCGGACATGCAGCAATTGTCGGGTTCGGTGGGTTGTGGGGGAACCAGGACGCCGGCGATGAGCCGGGAGCGGGAACGGATTGATTCAAGGCGGGACTGATATGAAGAAGTGGAGGTTGGGCCAGAGAGGCCGGAGAGGAAGGTGATGCTGGGTTTTTCTTGGGAAGAATCTTGGGGTTGGGGCTCAGGGGAGGGAGCAGAGGCGCCGTCTAGGCGTCCGCTTGAGCGGATCTGTTTCTTGGAAGGGTGTTAGAAGGGCTCGTTTTCTTCATACATTGACGCATATCAAACGACCGGGACGGAAAGATGGGGATCAGGGTTCAGAATGAGAAGAGGAGACCGACTTGAATTGTCTCGGCTTGCGGGGACGGCGCACCGGTTTCTCGGCCGGCTTTTCGGCCGAGGAGGATTCTTCTTGTTGTTGCCGCTTCGGGGACCTGGACGACTTTTTTTCCTCAGGGGCAGGCTTATCCTCCGCGACGGGCTCCGGCTCTGGCTCGGGGGCAGCCTCAGGCACAGCGGCCTTTTCCTCAACAGGCGCGGGCTCAGCCTCGGCCTCGACAGGAGCAGCAGACTTCTCCTCAACCGGCGCAGGAGTCGGCTCGGGGGTCTTCTCCTCAGCAACAGGCTCGGGGACCGGCTCCGGCTCAGCAGGCGTAGCCTCCTCAACCACCGGCTCAGGCTCAGGTGCGGGTGGCTCAATAGGCTGGGGCTTCGGCACCGGGTTGGGGTTCCAGCGCAGTATGGACTCGTAGAAAGCGCCGGCGGGGAAGACCTGCTCATTGGGCGAGCGAGCGATGGCGAAGGAAGGGCGTGCAGAGCCGTGGGCGCTGGAGAGTGCGCGAGAGAGGACGCGCGAGGGGCGGGCTTGAAGGATGGTTCTCCTCATCTTTTTTTCTTTCTGAAGAGACTAGTTGAATATGGTAGACTGGGGTTTTCTGGAGGTCGGTCGCTGGCACATCCAGTAAATAATGGAGCAACAACTTTTGGGTGATTGTTGCGCACACAGGTGGTGGAATTCGCAACTGGACCCCTAGGTTCGGTTCGGCTGTTATCGGACGAGCGTTAAAAAAGTGACGATTTTTTGGGTGAACTTCTGCAAGGATTCCGCGGGAGAGCGGAGCGTGTGGGGTTGGGTGTAAGTACGTGTATCGCTTATCGATAACCAGCGGGGGCGAGAGTCTGAGGACTCGTGTACCAAAAATATCCTCGAAAAATGAGCTGACGAAGGATTTCTATCTGAATGATACGGGTGAACAATATGATGCAGGCATTGGGGCCATCTGGAAGTTGTTCATTATATCTGGCATCCTCGATCCCTCCGCTTATGAGTTTTTCCCTCGGTTGAAGATGTCTTGGCTCGTAACTTACGGGCTACGTACCTGCAGCTAAACGGACAGTGCCACGAACGTCATTGGCGCTCAGTGTCTTGGCATAGCCTCGATCGTTTTGTGAGCTTCCAAACAAAACATTCATCCTCGACCTCCGACAACCCTCGACACCAAGATACCGAACCCAACGACTTGGACGCGTCATTCCTCGACACCTCTCGTCCACACGCGCAGCGACAATGTTCGAGTAACTGACAAACCAATTGAGCCGCTATGGAGACCTCAGCGCCCAAGAGGCGCAGGACGTCGCCCCGGTCCGCCATCGCCATCCAGCCCCAAGACCAAGTCCAAACCGGATACCTCGATGTCGCCCGCGATGAGACCCCCAACCGCTCCGTCTCTCCATCAGAATTTTTAAACCTATCTCCAAACGGGACAAACGTTATGAAAGCGGCCACCGAGCCTTCAACTGCACGCCAAAGCAACCACCCCATCCAATATCCCAACGACCATAATGATGACCCAACCCTAGCGTCGCGCCCAACCACGCCCGATAGCACCGCGAGCAAGGCGGGCGCCACAAACGCCCGCCTCGAACTACATCCTCCCCCCGCTGCAGCTCCTCGCGACGGCAACGCGCCGGCGCCAGCTCGCGAGCCAAGCCCTCTACGATCGCCCCCTCGACGCCCAGCCGTTCCCTTGCCCACCGTGCGACCCGTTCCGCGCCCTCTGCCTCCTCCGGGCCCTGAGGATGAAGAAGAGCCGCCGAACGCAGCTATCCCGAAGGGACTGCGCTCATTAGGTGTTATCCCCGAAATCCCCGTTCCCGAGCCCGAGCTGCCCCCAACACCAGAACACCCGGACCCCGTGGTTAGCACTCCGCCATCGGGCATTCATAACACGCCGTCGCGCCGCGCGAAGAGGAGTAAGGCGCTGGCGGAGAAGATTAAGAGTTCTTCGCCACTGAAGCAGCCTCCGCTGCGGCCGGACGAGCGTGCTGTGGATGGGCCCGTGCCGATTGATTTTGGAGGTGCCGCTTCGAAGAAGGGGCAGGTTACGACAGCAGGGGGAGAGCAGTATCTAAAAGAGGCTGAGCCAACTACGGCTGAATTGCGTGGCCTACGGCCCCGCGATCCCGATAGGGAAAAGAAACGCCGCCGAGACGCGTTGCTGGCCGAGATTCGCGCGCTTGAGCGTGACCTGGCTGTTGCGCAGAAGGAGAATGAGAGGATTCGGCAGGCAAGGCTTGCGAGGCGGGAGCCCTCACCGCCGTTAAATGGGAAGGAGGTGCTGCAGGTTTTGAGAAGACACGCCCTGTCCGCTGATGCGAAGAAAGACGAAAAGGAAGACGATCCGATTGCCGGATTATTGGCAAGTGCGCTGAACCCAATCGCGTTTTTGCCGTTCAGCAAGACTGGGCCAGTACCAGACGTGTTGAAGCCTCCTGCGGCAAAGAAGGACAAAAAGGAGGAGGGGAACCTGCCAAGTCACGAGCCCCTTCCCATGACAGCCGAGGAAGCCTTACCTTACCTACAAGTCTTCACTCCCTTAACCTTCACCTCGCAGGTCTCCCCCTTGCCACAGGACGATCCCGACAAACCCATCCTGCAAGTCCACACCATTACCGCGACATCAACATCGCCCCGGGGCTTGTTCACAGCTAGGATTCACATGACAGTTGACACGGAGAGCATGGCTATTGTCGAGCTGGATGTGCCGAGATTGGAGCCGGCGGCTGAGGGAGAACTGAGGCCTTTTATAGAGAGGATTACTGGCAAGGGGAAGGGGGAGAATGGTCAGGAGAAGGAGAAGGAGGTGTTGAAACGGGGCAGCGGGCTGTACAACAACATCAGTGTGCTCACCTGGGCTATGGGGGAGTGGCTGCGCTTGGCAATTAAAAGGGCGCGGGTGTGGCGGACATTGGAGCGTGAGGTTAGCGGTGAGAACCAAAATGAGGGGGTCAGAAAGCTGGTATTGTGGATGAGGAGCCGCAAGAAAAGGAAGAGGAGGCGGAAGGGGGGTGAGGATGCTGGTAAGGAGATTGATGATCAAGATGGGGAGGGGGATGAGATGATGGAGGAGGAGAGCTCGTCGAACCTCCGCGCGGCAGATTTGTTGCCCTTCCTTGGACGGAGAAGCATGGACTTCCAGATTCCGGCTCTGGACGATCCTGCGCAGGAGATGTCTGCGCTGAGGGTGTCGTGGAGGATAAGGTTTGATTGGACGGGCGAGGCGAGGAGTGAGATTGGGGTTGCGGTTGGGGTGCCGGGGAAGTGTAAGTTCATCTTACCCCATCCTTTCCGTCTAGGTCGCATTGTTGAGTTTGCTGACACTTTTCTTAGGGCATAAAATTGACGAGCGAGGCCGGCTCGCAGGCATTCCTAGCCTGTTTGATCAGTTAATTCACGGCGGGGAAGATCCGCTGATGGCAGTTAGGACGGTGGTGTGTCTTTTGGCAGGGAATACGACCGTATAGAGACGGTAATGTGTATCAACTTGTGTATGCGGTGTGTATGCTTATACCCCTTGAGTTGTTGTTGGGTCGAATGGCTGCATGGATGCATGTTGCTAGGTTGGAATCACGGGACAAGATATCCTTAGCTGAGGGCCTGGAAGAGCTTGTCGGTTGCCGGCGCGTAAGCAATGAATGAACTGCTGGTTGGCATCCGCTTCTTGTTTGGTTTACTGTTGCTGTCATTTGTACTCACCTGTCAGCGTCACGGGAGCCAGGCTACGACTGATCCGAACTCCTGTCCTCCCATATCATGACCAGCAGCTCAACGACACAAACATTACCTCCTGTTGACAAGTATTTCAAATATTTTACAACCATCCCTCCCTCCGAGTAAATCCCCAAGTAATCGCCTCTAACTCCAGTCCAAGTCAACCCGACACCTTCAGAAAAAGAACCCAGTGTTTGTTCACCTGATGATATCTCTTCTCCCTCGCTAAATCCCCCATGTCTTCATTTTTAGTCCACATCGACTCCCTTGCTTCGCAAATCCGCCTTCGCCATCTTAATTTCCTCCATCAGCTCTGCATACGCATCGGGCGTGTCGCGGAACGTCAGCAGACCCCAGCCCAGACGGAAGAGCAGCCACGCGCCCAGCGTGACGAGGGACCAGAAGGGAAGCTGTTGTTACAGATTATTTGTTTAGCCAATGTTTGCGATCGCCTAGCTAGGGCCGTGACCGGAAGAAGTAGGGCGGGAACATACCACAGGGATAATGTCGCGCTGGACGACTTCCGGCAGAGGGATAAGCTCGAGGAAGAGGCAAAGGTAGAGCTGTACGCGAGAGAGCGGTTAGTTGATTGCTGGTCCAGTAGGCTGGGGAAACGTGGAGCTAAAGACATACAGAGCTCACGAGGAGCGCAAACGAGATGGTTTGTTGTGCGCGCGTCATGGCTGATGGGCCGGTGCCGGGTTTGATGACTTGGTGATAGTGATGGTGACAGTGGCGTGGGAGTTGCTTGTCTATATGGCTTTCTTAGAAGCAAACGTTAGCCAACTGGCAGCGAAGAACGGAGCGTTATATCTTTGGGTGGATGGCTTTGGAAGATCCAACATTTGTAGATTGTTGTGAGCAATTGGTTGTTGTCTGTGGAGCGCTCTGATAGCTGGGATGTGGGAGCTTGGAGAAGGACAAGTCATTCGTAAGGGCGTGTCGCGCGTCCTGGGTGTGGGCTGATCCCAGGGTTAGGGTTCGATGGACCAATCTACTCATGAGCAGACTTTGGCGCGCTAGCTGATGAGTTAAGAAGCTAATAAAGACTGATAACCATCTCAGTTCACCAAAGGATTTTTAGGCTCTTATGAAATCATAAAATGCCATTCACCGCTATATACCTACAATACAACATGATATACAATCCATATACAACATAATGTGCTATAGCACAACAATATAAATGTCCGCTCGGTCATGCTTTAACTAAGTCTCAACATATGCAATGCAGATCATTCCCCCTGGAGTTGAGCCTCATCCTGTCCACTTGAACACTGTCGAACAATATATATCAAAACACGTGATCTCCCAACTTATGCACCTGCAATTGTGCAAAACAGAGTTCCTGCAAATCACCGCAACGATGATCTCTCTCTGCTCGGAGCCCCCAGTTTCGAACTTCCTTCGCGGCGTAAAGCCGGCCGTCCCTTTTCTCTTGCTTCCTGCCCGTTTCCTTTCTGAGCTGACTCGAGCTCAACCACTTCACCAAAATCTAACCAACCTTTAATGATCGCTACATCACCAGCTTTAGTGAAAACGAGGTCCCCATTTTCCATTATTCCTCCTATCGGTTTCCGGGTCCCAGCAAACCAGTCATGTGGCACAAAGAAGTGCTGTGTGTAGGATGTCACATTTGCATTCGGCTGGATGATAGTGTCAATGAGCACAGAGCAGACCCAAGAACGAGCATTGAGGAAGACCATCCTGCTGCCTCTTGGCGACGCGAGGATGCCGACAACGTGAGCGACCCGGATCCCCAGGCTTCCAAGACGAGAAATGGATAGTAATTGGCCCAGTGACTGCTCAGGCTGTTTCCCAAGAGCCTTTCTCGATAGATCCTGATGAGCCGATGGGACGTTTGTTTGCGGTTTGTTGCTCAGCGGGTTTCTTTCGCAGCCAGCCTCTTCGTCGTCAAGTACCAGGGGTATATCGTTGCAATGTAGCACGGACATATCTCTTGTCCCGCTCGAGCCATTGGCATCGGTCAAGTCCAGGAGGACGATATCTCTCCTCGGATATGGAAAAACGCCTTTGATACTGAGCCCGAGCAGACTGTTATTGGCCAGGGATACTGAGCTTACTCTCGATAGATCCTCCCAACGATGCAGGTGGACGAACTCGGGCTCTACGCAAATGAGGTGAGACTCTGACCGTGGGTGTTGCAACCATCTCCGAGTCGTGTAACTCCCGTGATTTAACGACTGTTCTTCCTCACGACTCGACAGGTTCCAGAGATGATCTGATCGATGACTCGACAGGAGAAAGCGGTTTTCAGTTGGGTCTGGAAGGAGATGTATGATGGTGCTTCCAATGTTGAGTCGAATGTTGACAATTGGACTTGTCGTTACGCTCCGGATCCCACAGCTTGGGTACACTTGCATCTCAACAGCTTGAGCCATGATTCGGTTGGCTACACAAGTAGATATGACTCTTTGACTCCGGGGGAGCCAGGAAAGTGTGTTTACTGCGGCGGACACGTGAGAGTAAAGCTTGGCGACCAGGTTCCCGGTGTTATTCTCATAGAGGCGAACAGAACCGTCTTCTAACCCGCAAATGATGCCTTTTTTGTTTGGTATTATCACCAATGATGTGATCTTCGGCTTTGGGGTCAAGTCTGTCAACTCTTTGGCAATTTCTTCCGTGTCAACCGTGTCTACACTGAGATCGTCTTTCAGATATGAACTGGATAACAAGATCGGCGGTGTCCAAATGTTGCATTGAGATCCCCGGAGATCCGCCAGTGTACTCCCATCATGACTGAATGCTAGAACTTTAATAAAGATGTCCGATGACTTGACTTTGTATAGGAGGGTTAGAGTGTCAAACTTCCAAATTTGGATAATTCCTCCTCCACCTCCTCCAGCAAGGAGATGACCATCTGGACTCGCGGCAAGTGTATGACAAGAAGGCCGTTGCCTTTCGAGCTCAATATCGGCAAACGGGTCGACAATGGCAAGGTCACCATCAAGATATGAGATGGCGAGAAGTCCAATATCGGAATTTGGATTGAAGAGAAGTGCCACAACTGGATGTGTAGACGTCTCTCCGGTTACGAGCTTTTTCCCACATTCGCCGACATAGGTGTTTCCCTCTAAGTCCCATATTGTAACTGGGTGACTTGCATAAGCAACAGCCATCATCTTCTGGGCGACTGCAACGGAGACCGCAGATGGTGGGCGGTGTAGAGATAAGAACTCGTCGTTTGCCCACTTCAGCCATGGATCTCTGGTATACTCAAGGACCTCTTCGTTTCTCACATTCCACGAAACAAGCTCATTCTGATTTGAAACTGCCGTAAGGATGTTGTCGACGAAGAATAAGCCAATACACTGGCGCGGTGCCCGAAGTCGATGCAGCACCTGGCCAGTTCGAATGTTCCATATTTGTATTGTCTTTCCGCCTGCCGAAGCCAGAAAGCCATATTTTTCTTGGAGGTCTAGGTGCCTAACAGTTTCACCGTGGTTGAGGTTGCGGTATTCATGATAACAATTGGCATGATAGACCGCAATCCGTCCTTCCCTCATTCCAACCACGAGGAACTCTTCTCCATAACGGAGAGCAGTAGTTTCCTTTTCGAAGCCCAGGCAGGATAATCGATCGTCCCATGGAAGGACCGGAAGACCAAGTACTGACAATTTCTTTCCAGGCGGCGATAATGAATGGATCGCGGAGTCTTGGGGGCAAAATGCTTGGATGCGGTTATATATCGCCGACGGACAAGAGATAAGGATGTCTGCAAATTTGGCAGCGATTCGTTGAAGGTCTTGGGACCATGATTTGAGGGCTTGGAGATCTCGCCGTGACGGGGATCTTGCGGCCATGTAACAATCTGCATAGGTTCTAAGGTCTTTCGCAACGTTGATCATCAAACCAAGCTCCCTTCTTTCAGCAATCTTTTCGATCCAGGTCAAAATATTGAGTTCCAAGAACTTTTCAACGAGTGTCACGATCTCATCCGACGTTGGATTGGCCTTGGCGAGATGAGTTGAGAACATCGTACTGGCATAAAGGAAAAAATCCGACTTCTTTGCTGCCCTTGAGCTCGCTGATCCTCGCGCGACTATTCGAGGAGGCTTCATTTCATCCCCGACTAGGTATTCCAAACAGACGCGAGCAATTCGGGTATGTGCTTGTGTTTCATCCACTGCAAATTCTGACCCAAGCTGGGTATCGAGGAGGAACTCTCGAGCTGTCTCGTGAACCATCTGAACCCGTTCTTGCTTGTCGATGACAAGTAGCTGTCCACACAGTGTCCTGATAGTCTCTTTCATATTGGCTATCTTGTCTCGAAGGTCGATCTCTAATGCGGCTTGGAGTTCTGCGAGCGTCAGTGGCCTGATCACGCAGGCCGTCCAGGTCAATAAGGCCTTGGCCAGCTCTTTTCCCCGAGTAGCGACAGCCATCGCTTCGAGAGCACGGTAGTAGAGCTGTCCCATACCTCGCGGAACTTCCTCAAGAACCGTTTCGACATCCCTTCTAATATAGGACTTGGAGAGTTCTTCAAGCACCAAAACTGTCCAGAGAAACGATCCCTTAGATTTCTCAATGATCCTTTTTTCCAGTATTTGACGGGTCTCCTCATCTAAAGTGCACAAAGCCGATCGCTTATGCTCCACGAGTCGTTTAATGTCCGAGAGAGTTTCTTCTGGAGAGATGTGAGCTGTAAAATGTTTGCCAGGGCCCAGCGTCGAGAAGAGCCGACAGAGTTCCGGTGTTTCACGGCTAGTGATCAAGATTCGCAGACGGCCGTCATTCTCCATCTTGGAAAGCATCGATTCGAGAAGAGGGGCAAAGTTTGAGCACTCATCCAAGGCATCGATGACCCAGAAATGTTGAACAGTTGCTTCTTTAAAAACCTTTGGTGCAAAAAAGGTTCGCCAGAGACTCCGTTCATTTCCATAATCGACTTTCACACGGCTACTGTGGAGTTTCAGAAACAAATCACGGATGCCAGGATCCAAGGATGCCATTTGGAAAGCTAATGATCGTAGACAAGTACTCAGCGCAGATTTGGAACGATCACCATGCTTGAAGAAGTAGTAACTGTAGGCGGCATCTGACACTTCAAGGTCGTCGACAATGAAACCAGACAGAACTGATTTTCCGGTAGCGGGTTTTCCAGCCATCCAAAGAACTGGTGGAAAGTCGCTTGGTTCAGAGTCCTTCCAGTTGAGATAGTATTCCTTCTCAAGTATCCACTCACAGGTACCTGGAAGTCGAAGCTCTCGAATATCCGCCAAGTCGTCGGCTAAGTCATTCATAACCTCATCCACAACTCCAAGGTACTCCGCCAGGGTCTCCATTTGGTCTTGACGAGGACTGGCCTGGGTCTCGGCAGTGTTGACTGCATCAGTGTTACCACATACAGTAGACAAGTAGCTCTGATGAATACAAGCGGCTGCATACCTGTGTCTCTAATATTCTGAACAGTGGATGCAAGCGCATTGCGGACAATTCTGTAATTTTCATCCTTTGGCGAGTCAAACTTGCATATCGACCGATGATCAGCATTCATCGGGTATTGCTTCTCTCGAGGGTATCCCAATCTAGCAGACTCTGGATCGACGACGAGGGCACTGATGCCAATGCCGGCCCTGAACTGCCGCGTCTCGTAAAATGAGCAAAGTTCCAAGCCCTCAGCATGCTGACGGAAGTCATCGTTGATTGCCTGGAGAACATCGGAGCCGGGGATTAATTCGACAACATAGCTTGGGGCCGAAAACACAAGTTGGAGAATGTTTTTCAGCGTCTTTGCTAAGTCTGCACCCCGATGAGGGGTTGCGATAAAGTAGATCGCTCGGACACGTTCTGCTAGCTTTTTGTTTTGGTGACATGCCAACACGAAAGCTTTCTTGATCACAAGGCCCCCCATACTGTGGCCGATGAACACCAGGGATGTGTTGCTCCTGGATATTTCAGGCGATGTTGATAGTTGCCCAACGAGCGACAGCCCCATATGATGAAGATTAAGGCAGTTGTTATTTCCTTTTGTCCAGTCAGAGTCATAACCGAAGGTGTGTATCCGCACATTTTTAAAATCTGGGTCCTCTGGTAACCATTTAGCTGGCCAAAAATGACTCTCAGTGCCAGTTTTGCTCCATGTTTTGCGAGAGCCTCCACCCAGACCATGGACGAAGACCATGTCACACAAGACAGGCTCGTCCTCCGGTGGAGCATGAAGAAGTGTTAATCCTAGAGTTCCCTTGGGATCTGAGGAGAAGTCATCTACGAAAGCTGGAGCTCGGCTCAGCTGATCGAGGTCATCATCAGGTGGTGATGATGGAAGTGTTGATGAGGTGCCCGGGGGAACGGTCTCGATGCCAGAGAAAGTCTTTTTGCGGCTCTTTAAGAGGATCTGGAAACCCCTTGAAAACCAAAGAAAAGAGTGTCAGTCGATACATGAGTGCAAAGGTTTCAAACACAGATCATGGTTACAGCTGGGTTACGCAGCAGAGCATCTGTGGTTCTAATAGTGAAAAAGAGCGAGTTGAGGAACTTACCATGGCGATCTATGAGAAAAAGTGCCATGAGACCGAAGAGGCTTTTGCTGTGACTGCATTGCAAGAGGTCTATATTAAATCGACATGTCTGCTGCTTGGATGAAATCTAATACAACTCAGACCTTCCTGCATAGCATGCAACTCAGGGATGATTTTGTTGGTATGTAGCTCTTCATTTGTTAAGAAAAAATAAGATGACTTTATGTGATTGTCAAATGGTCTCAGGGACTGTCTCCTATGCAATTCTGATCAACCATTTGGGAGATCGGGGACTGGTTCCGCCGGGTGGCCCCCATTGACCGGGGAAAGGGCTATGTTGGGCACAAGTATGATGTGCAACCCTAATGCATTGCATCCAATAAGATCGTCAGAGCTGTGAAAGGCGATGAGGGCAGAAGGACAACTAGGGGAATCATGTACCTACTCCCAAGGCGCGTTCAACCTAGTACCCTCCGAGAAATCCAGAGCCAATCAAAACGAGATATGCAAGCATGGGGCACACAGTTACCGTTCCTGGACCTTGTCTAGAATCGTGCAGCACTGAAGCCTTATGCTGCTCTCATACGTGTAGGGGGGCTCAACCCCACTTCGGCTGGGTGTCGGCGGCTATTTCAAACAACACCGTTAACGGACCAGATCCCCAGAAAGCAAGATATCAAGTGCAGTCTCATGACTTGGTCAGAGTCGGTCACCAACGGGCAAGTTTGCGTTCCACGCAGCAATCTTGCTGGAACCCCGCACAATACACGGAATGGAAAGGCAGCTGGGAAAAATTTTTTACTAAAGAGTCGAACAAGCTAGTGATCTGGAGATCAAAGCTAAAGGACCCCATTCAGAACTTGATATACTACTTCCGACACTGTTTGACAATGTTATCTCGTGCTTGCTTCATCAATTAGAGAGCGACGGTCACTCAGTAAAGCGATCCCTTGTGTATCGAGATCTTTTTTTGCCAACTCCGGTGTCAACGCTGAAATGGGAACAAGAAGGATTTTCGATACATGTTGTTTTTATGCATATAATAAGTGTAAGTCGTCTCTTGGCTTATCGAGGTAGAATCTTGGTTTGTGAAGATGCTCGCCTGGCCTGTTGTGCATAAGACGCATTATCCTCAGCTGCAATTGCCCAAACGGTTCCGAAATGGAGGGTACCTTGGTGCTTGCTATAAAGCGGTACGGCTCATTCTCAGTCCACCATCAGAGGCCGTATGTGAAAACTACAACATAGGCACATGCGGCCTTATTTGGCCCGGTGGTTAAATGCATGCAATTACCGATTGATCATGCAATATTTCTTGCTGCAGCTAAAGAACTCGGACGTAACTGAGCCAGGGGTCGCTGACCGTCCCTAGCGTGTCCGGGTTGTTGCATTTATGGTGATCCTCCCGTTTACGCCAATGTAGCTTCGCTGTGTAAATTCCGACCTGTCCCACAGCAATTCATCCCGTCTAGCTCGTTGAGTAGGTCCCTTGGGCTTGGCGTCCTGGCTTTCAAACCGCTCTCGATCCTGCCGTTAGTAGGCGCAGGCAGGCATTCCAGACCCATCTAGCTCTTTCACATAGGTCGCCAACTTCATCTATCCGCACAATGCCCTTTCCCGGTTATCTTTGCAACATCTATTTCTGGAGACTGGTGGTAACATTGTGACACAAGACTATACAGACTGGGCCTCGAACAGCAACCATCTCTCCGACATAGAGAGCTATGCGGCATTGGCTGGGTATACATCAGACACTCTTCTGAGCGACTGCCCGGCTCTATCGTCTCCAAAAGCCTCCAGAGTCTGCAGCCGAAAAGCAAATGCTTGAAAGACGCTTTGATTGACAAGCCGGTTGGAGCAATTTGGATTATCTGGCTATATTGGTTTCTGTTACTGTGGTCTCGCCTCTTAACTGAGAGCTCTATTCACAAAGTCTCACAGCGTTGGCCCTCTTCTGCATCTTTTCTTGTAAAAATCCTTTGCCATTGAACCCATTCAAATACTTCTCTGCTACGCTCTAATGTACTTTTACAAAGGCATAAAGGGTATCACCATGGTTGATACTATTGGCGTTATTGGCGTGGCTGGCCAGTTCTTGGAGTATACCTTCAAGTTTTATAACAACTGCAAGGATGTTGAGGCGGAGACGAAAAGTTTCTTCTCGAAGTAGGGGCCCTCAAAACTACCCTACTACATGCACGTTCTATTCTCTCGGATCCAATTCTTGCAAATGCCTTCCAAGATGGTTCTTCAGCATTGCTTTCTGAGCTTGATCCCCTGCACGGTACGGACACCGCTGTCCTCTTGTCTGCTTGTGAGGAAGAGCTGCAACGTTTGCTCTCCAAGTTTAAAAAGCGGGCAAATAATCATAGGTTTGGATTGGAGTGTCTCAAAGCTGCACTTGATGGCGGGAAAGCACGCGAAGCTGTCGAAAACCTCCATCGGCGATACCAAACCTTGAATTACTGTTTGCGCGCGATCAACTTGCCCTTCAAATCAAGACTTTACAACAGACGGTTAATGCCAGAGAAGATCAGAACCGAAACCATCAGACCCAAGTTCAGAAGCTTCAATCTAATGAAAAAAGAACCGGTGGGATCGAAGCGGGCGTCAATACCATTGTTTCACGGATACATACCACCGAAGCTCGACAAGAACATGAACAAATGCTTCAGTGGCTCTCTTAGTGGACAATTCGCCACAACAAGCCGACTTTCTACGCCAACGACAAGAGGGCACAGGACAGTGGTTTTTAGAATCTCGTTAGTTTCAAGAGTGGTATAGTCTTTGTTTTCTTAACCTATCTCATTCCTGCTTTTCCTCAAGCTAATCAGTCCACCAGGTTGTCAAAGGTCAGTGATTCTCTTCTGTCCCGGCATACCTGGTGCTGGGAAGACTATCCTCGTATCGATAATCATCGGTTATCTCCAAAGAAACTTTCCAGACCGTGACGTTGGCGTCGCGTACTTATACTGCAACTTCCGGCGCGTAGACGACCAAACCGTTTAGCAGCTAATTGCCAACCTTGTAAAACAACTACTCAACAACAAGTTTCCGCCACCACCCGCAGTCATAGATGCCTATACTCGACACAAGAAGTATAAATCGCAGCCATCACTAAGCGATCTTGAAGATATGTTCCATGCTGTTGCCGTGCTGTACAAGGATGTGGTCTTCGTTATTGTTGATGCGCTGGACGAGTGCCAAATGGGCGACAACATACGTTCCAAGTTCATTGATGCATTACTGCACCTTCAATCGAGGGAAAGTAATGTCAATATCCTGGCCAGATCCCGCAATGTACTTGATGTTGTGGAAGCCTTTGATGGGCACTCCCGCCTTGAGATAGTAGCCAAAAGGGACAACATTGAACTATATCTGCGCAATCAGATGTCAAATTTGCGCGCTGTCTCGAAGTACCCGAGCCTTCAACATGAGATCATTGGGTGCATTGCCAGTGTCGCAGATGGCATGTAAGTCTTCACTGTTCCATGAACCATGGGTAATTGACTCAACTGAGCATATACTTACTATCAAAGCCAGGTTCCTGCTAGCTCGCCTCTTATTCGAGTCCTTGAAAGATAAAGTTAGCGCGAAACTAATCCGCGAAACGCTAAACGAGCTTCAAAACGACTCCAAAAGAGCCAAAGCTTGCCCTATTACGCCGGGCATATGACAACGCGATGGAGCGTATCAATGGGCAAACTGGTTGGATACAAGCAGCTCGCCAACCATGTGCTATCCTGGATCATCTGCGCCAAACGTCCTCTGTGCAGTATGCATGGGCGGTCAAGGACAGTGAAGACGAGCTTGATGAAGCCGCAATTCCTGATGCCGAAGACATGTTTTCGGCATGTTGCGGGCTCGTTGTCATCGACAAAGAAAGCGAAATCATCCGACTTGTCCATTACACACTTCAGGAATATTTCCAGGATGCTTTACCCAATGATTTCCGACTGCTCAGCTTGATATCACAAATACCTGCATATTATATTTTTCGTTTAAGGACTTTTCAGGTGGCCCTGTCAAGACGCATCAGCAGGCGGGTGAACGACCTGGGAGACCTCTCTTTGTCTATGCTATTGACTACTGGGGACATCATGCATCTGCGTGTTCGGCTTGCATTCCTCGACTGCTTGACTTATTGATAAATCCAGAATGGGTCAGTATGGTGGCCAAACGCCGCTAAGATAGGCTCGAGAGCACGGCTATACGGAAGTTGTTAAAGCTTTATCTGATGGGCCAAGTTGATCCGAGCTTAGCACATCATGTTGGGCGCACACTACTGGTGTCTGTTCCCCCAGAAGATCTGGACATTGTTCGGGACTTTCTCGACTCCTCCAAAAGGAAAGATGTCCGCACAGACGACCTTACGAGGTTTCTCTGCGCGTTG